TTCTTTGTTACATTAGCTAAATGTAATTTAAGAGCTTTCCTAATGTTTCTTCAGAGAGGGACACTTTGCTGTAACCCATTACCTCTTCACACTTTTAAAATGAGAGCTGAGGTCATGTCGTTTGGTCCTGTTCTTAAGCTAATATAACACAAGAAACCCTTTTTCCGTTGCAGTTTGAACACAGACCTCTGCAGAAAGTCAGTGGATTGACTTGGTCCATTGGCTCAAGAGCATAACTTTAATTAAACCTCTAGGTACTGATTTACATACATAGTGTAGTACAAATTTACGAATATTAACATCAAATTATATTAAAAAAAAATATCTGTGAGGATGTTTAGGCAGATAATATATTTCTGCTGAGCTTCTGCCTTTTCTTGAAGAAATTTTAAAATAAAAAAGCCATACATCCATCAGCCTGTCTGCATGGAGGAGTTGGAGCGATGCAGGTACATCAGTATCAACAGCTACAGGCTGTCACGTGCATATGTGTCCATGTGTGACAGTGACAGTCCATCAGCAGCAAAGTCATAATGAACATGCACACTGTGGAGATCTGTTGGAGAGTTTCAGCTCCCCCATTTGGAGAAATATGGGTCTCGCTTGACCCTTGTGGCACTTCCTGTATTCTAGGTCTTTTATTACAAAGGTAATGCTGTTAGTTCACTAAAGGACCTGCCACCAAGGATTCTGAATTCTTGAAAATACCTTAGTTGGACATAATAAGAATCTCAGGTTTTATCTGTCCCATCTCTGCTGTCTTTTGGAGGGGTGAAGTGCAGTGTTCAAAACCAAGACCTGAAGTGCAGATGTCTAAACACATCGGTATCAAATTGGAGTAGCCTGAGTTACAGGGTGACTTCAGGGCTTCTACTGCAGAGTAAGTTATCTTAAAAAGTCAAACAGGAATAATTTGGGCTAAGTTGTAAAGTACATTGAGTACCCTCAAGGCAGAAATGCCAGCTGAGCAGAGCACACTGCAGTTTACTGTGGGTTGGAACACTGTGGGGGGTGATCTGATTTACTTGCATCATTAGGAGAATGCGATACTGATAGTTGGGGTGGGGGAAGCAAGAGAGACAGAGCATGGCCTCTGGGCTGCCATTCTCTTCAAGGCAAACCAAAGCAGGTATGGGTGCAGCCCTCCCATCACACAGGGACCAGGTGCTTGGAAAAGCCTTTGCAGGAGAACCATAGGACACAGTGTGGCAGAGTGTCTGGGGCCAAAAAGTTGATGAGTTTCCATGCAGGGGTGGCCGGATCATCGTTCAGCAGGACTCTTATGCCTGTGCCTGTTGAGAGCAGTCTGAGCTCTGGGTTTGGCCCATGCGAGAGGGGCAGCCTGACGGACTCTACCTGTGTGTGCCACAGCAGGGGACACCAAGACTGAGCTCTGCAGGAACTGGCCACTAGACTACCATAAACATTGCTGGTCAGAGTCCCAATTTCCGCGGATAAGAGTAGGGAAAGAAAAAACAAACAAAAAAAAGAGTTAAAAGGGGGGAAGGGAGGAGAACCATGTTTTTCTGTTCTTAACGTTTGGGTTGTTTTGTTTATTTTTAACCAACCCTGTGACCAAGTATGCATATCTGATGAGTAGTGAAGTGGGTTATTTGGAATAAATCTGTTGACCTTGCTAGAAATTGTGTGAGTTTGTGCCAATCATTTCTGTTATACTCTCAAAGGGAGAAGAGCTTCATTAAAAACTAAAAAGTTTGAGGATTAACTCCACTTTGGTTTTAGCTTTTGTCATCAAAAGCTAGTATGTTGAGACTACGTTTTTTTTGACCATTTTGTTCTAACCAGTATTCTTCATCCTCATTCCTACCTAAGCAGAAGGAAAAAAACCCACTTTTCAAAATCCATTGATCTGGTAGCACAGGGTATTTTCATTTTATTTATGGCAAGCTGTTCCTTCAAATTCTAACCATAGCATTTGCCTGAACTGGGAGGTTGAACAACTCTTTGGCAAGTGTAAGGACCAATAAATCAGTATAGCTGCCATTATACTGGTGTTAATAAAATGAGATACTCTGTGGGCTCCTGAAAGCAAGTGTATAAAATTAAATTTGTATCAGTGAATCAGCCTAGAAATCACTTGCTGGTAGAGCATGATGACGTGCGGTGTGCTTTAGGAGATAACAGGCAATGAAGGGAAACCTGTCACTTGTGTTGCTCATTTTTTAGATGGCTCTGGTTGGCTGACTTACTGAAAATTACTGTGGTTTGGATAAGCTGCTCCTGAAGCTGTTATTTAAAAAAATAATGTCTCACTATTTGACCAAAATTACCAGTTTGATAAAATGATCTTTAAAACAACTCTTCTTCTGAGGAGACCTATATGGTTGAGTTTCACTTGGCTAATTTTTGCTGTGTATGAAAACCTGTGTGTTGATAGACAGGAGCCGTGCAGTTCAGCTTACCTGTGCAAGGGAGACTGTGGCATAAACAGGAGGAGAAAGGTGGTGATGATCTACAAAGCAGGCTGACTGGTGCTGGTCTGTGTTACTTACACAGCCTGGCTGATGGAAGCAACCTCCTCTTGACTTGTGGTGTGAAACAAGTTAGGACAACAGGAAAATATTCTCCAAATGAATTCCCTGTGGAACAGCTCTGTAAATATGTGTGTTTTCATAGGGTAGACTGTGCCCTTTGTGATATCCACAGCAGAACTTTCTTAGAGAAATAATTAGATTTGTGTTTAACTTAGAACCCTCATCTGTTAAAATATTTCATGGTCTATCCTTTAGAGGAGTGGAAGAGGGAAAATATTATCCACTCCTCACAGGTGATGGCCAGGAAATCTTTGACTGTTGGTCTTGGATTTAGAGCCTGGAGGTCTTGCATGTTTGCAGGAGTGGCTTGGTTGTTAACAGAAGAGATCTTTAATCACTGTCCAAACAGTTTTTATGAGAACTCAGTTAAAAAGACAAATGAAGGCAGTGCCTGGCTAAGCTGCTGCTGGGGATGGAAGGGACACAGCAGCACAGGGTCTCTGGTACAGAGCTCCAGGCAGGGCTGGGGAGGAGGAGGAGGAAGAAGAAGAGGAGGAAGACCATGCGTGCGGGTTGTAGTTCACCTGTCTTACATTCACAGCTGTGTCAAACAATTCCAAGTATGCTGCTGGGTTTCCATATCTTTCCCGTTCCTGCCAGCTACCAAAATGTCCTATATATTCTGTGTCTGTCTTGGTGCTTTCCCTTTTATTATATCAAGTAGCACCCAAAGCCTGGGGGGAGGGAGAGAAGAGGACACAGGAGAAGGAGAAATGTTTGTCGCTGGTTTGCTGCAATCTCCACTGGGGAAGCAGCAGGGTGCACAAAAGGGTTACCATGGTCTCTTTTCCCAGACTTTATAGCACATCTGATAAATCTGCAGCTTTATTTGCTATGAATTGTGTTGCTTTTGATCTTTTATATGCAGTGGCTTTTTCCCCCAGTGGAGCAGTTGTCATGCGGTCCCCAATTTACATGAGTGCTAAAGAGAATGACACAAAAATGAAGTGGCGTTGCTGTAACGAAACCTATTAATAGCTTAGCGGAGAGGCACTGACGCATCTCAGATATAGCACTTGGAATTAAAGCTGAGGAGAATAATCATCTTTGCAGACTAAGTTTTCCCAAAATGAGCAGTGGATTTAAGTGCGCAGCTAGAGATGCTTTCAAGGGGCTGTGATTTTTCAGATAAAGTTTCTCAAAATCAGGTTTGCTTGAGACCTCTCAGCCTGGGCTGGCACAAACTCAGGCAAATGTTTCTAATCCCTATTGGAAATTTTGGTGTCTCCCCTCTGCCAGACCGGGGCGTGTTGTGTGGGGTTAGCATCGTGCTGCCCCAGCACGGGGTGATGCTGGGGAGCAGTGACTGCAGACTGCGCTGCTCCGAATCCAGCCCGGCCAGAGCTGGGACCAGCTGGCTGCCAGCGGGGAGCGAGGCACCCTGAACTGCAGCTTGGCTTTCCACTAGGGAGGGGGAGACCTGAGCATCTTCATTCTGGGCTATCCAAATGGCACCAACTTAAAAATGCTGATCACAGACTAAAATAAACTATGCCCTCATCTTCTGGGTGTTGAGCTGGTCCAAGTGTCATACCCCTAAGTTAGGTGTATTAAGATTAATTTGTTGTTGTGTACAGAGCAAGCTCATGGTCTCTTGCTGGTCACTGTGGTAGAGCTCGAGTCTGTGCTTCCTCTGTTGCAAATGCACAATTCCCATATTACCCTGTAATCCCCGTAATGAAATATATACATATTTGGAATATATGCTTACCAGAACTGTCTCTGTCATACAAAGTATGCCTAAACCTTTCTGGTTACTTCAGAAATGGAAGCAGAGCCTGTTACTGACGAAGCACAGGAGATTTTTGCCTTTTGGTTTCATTAAGATGTCAAGTTTATTATGATTATGAGGTCAGAGGCAGGATCTGAGGAAAAACTGTCACTGTTTTTGACCCAGATTCAGAGCTGCACTGCAAGATGCTGGATTCGTGTGAGATTTGAATTTATTTTAAACACAGCCATTTACCTTTCTGAGACAAATCTTTCCCAAGAGGTGTTCTTTGGGCTATTCCAGAACATCACAGTGTTTTTTACCTGTGGACTGCATCAGACTTGTTCATTATTAGTGATAGCGAATGAAACCATCTCTGCATAGCTGTGGGGAACTGATGGCAAAGGCTTGCTCAAGGCATAATGGACAGACTCAGCACAGAGATGGAAACAGATGTACTTGGAGTCCTCCTGTCCTTTGCAGCAGGATCTGCTTCAGTTTCTCTAGAGTTGCCTTGTCATTTCACTTTATTATTTATTTTTTTAAAGCCACCTCAGTGGTATTAGTTTTCTTTTAACACTTGTCAAAGATGAGATATTTACTTCACTGCAGACAGGACAATGTAATTGGTCTCATCTGTCAAGTTTTCTCAGTCAGGTAAGGTATGGATATTTATTCTGAGAGGAGAGCACAGCAAATATGGTCTGTACTCAGGTTTTCATTATTTCTTACAGGACACAGATATATCAGTCAAGCTGCAGCTAAAATTGATGTGGATTTTGATTATGATGGACCTCTAATGAAGACAGAAGTTCCTGGACCACGATCTAGAGTAAGTTCCCAAACTACAGTAGCTTGTAATATTTGCTTCTTTAGCTGTGTTTAACTTGCTAGAAAACAAATTTCATTCCAAACTTTAAATCTGATATGTGTAAACATAATTTCACAACAGTCTGTGCCCAATTTTATCAAGATGCTGAGAAAGAAAAGCTCATGAATAAAATGCCCCTCTCTGAGACAGAGATCTGGAGCTCAACTGCCAACTTCTCCTATAAAGTAATTGAGAGCAAAAGAGCATCAGTTTGATGAAACATCTCATCAGATTTGGTTACCTGTACTCCTGCTGAAACAGAAATTTATTTGGCTTTTAATGATGTGAAATAATGCTTTGGTTTTGAAATGAAGCAAGAGTTTCAATTTGTTGGACATTATTTTATTCCGGCAGAGTCAGTATTTATATGTGTGGTGGTGTGGGGGTTTGTTGTTTGCTTTTGTTTTTTTAAAAAAAACGAGCTGTCTTTCTACAACCAATGTGCCAGTATTCCTTCTGTGTGTCTCTGGCTCCTGTTGTTTTTTGATTTCTCTCTCATTTTCTCAGTTGATCAATGTAGAAGAGGCAGCTTTCTCCTTTTGGAGATTTACATTTGCACAGTGTATGCAGCCCACGTAGCTCTGCGAGCCACAGTTAATAGTTCTGACTCTCATATTGGCAGGGTGCACTGGGAGAGTTCATGTGGCAAGTACAGGTGCCTGGTAAGCACATGGGACTGCAAGTTATGTGTGTGACTTATGTGATCATAAAAGAGAAACATACATTCCTCTTCAGTATTTGGTAATTATATACCTAAGACTCTTTGGTGTTTGTTTTTCTACAGGAATTAATGAAGCAGCTGAATGGAATTCAGGTAATTTGATAAGTTTTCGAGTTTGAAGAGTGTTAACGCTGTGATTTCAAAACTTGTCTTAAAATCCCATTTGGTATGTTTAATTCCATACAAAAAAAAAAAACAACTGAAACACTGACTCCAGGTTTGCATGCTGATTATGTGGTGTCTGGTATGTATGCGCATTTGAATAAAATCTTTTTTACTATAGCAGAATTATTTGGTGGGATCAGTGATTTTTTCTTTAAACACTATATGTTCTTTTTGAGTTTTTATGAAGTGGCCAGTGCAAACATAGATATACTTGAACTTGAAAGTATGTCAGCCTAAGTGCATGTGCATGTTGCCTTCCCGAGACAAGCAATTCCTCAAAGTCTGTTCTTTGTTTCTGTAAGAAAGTGCATGCTTGCCCTTTTAACAGCCCCTCTTTATAAAAATAGCTCTACAGTTACTTCCCATGCAATGAATATAATCATTGAATCATAGAATAGTTTGGGTTGGAATTGGACCTTTAAAGGTCATCTAGTCCAACCCCCCTGCAATGAGCAGGGATCTCTTCAACTACATCAGGTTGCTCAGAGCCCCTTCCAACCTGACCTTGAATGTTTCCAGGCATGGGGACCACTTCTCTGAACAATCTTGTCTTTTTATCTTATTACGTATTTTTATCAGATTTTGCTGCATAACCATTAGTTGCACCTTCTACATGCTGCTATTTTTTAAAGCATTAATTGTTTTTTTTTTCCTTCAAGAATGCAGAAGCTGTACACTTTTTTTGCAACTATGAAGAGAGCCGAGGGAACTACCTAGTAGATGTAGATGGCAATCGCATGCTGGATCTCTACTCTCAGATTTCATCCATCCCAATAGGTAGGAGACATTTATACCAAAACTTTCTGCTTTTGTCCTCAAGCTGTTGTTTTCTTGTCTCAGTCACTACCGGAGAAGTTGGCTGATTAAAAAAAACAAAGCTTGACATAATGTATGCCTTGTTTCAATCAGGGTACACCTCACTGCTGTGTATTATGCAGTGGTGTTTTTGAATAGCTGAAGAAGCTAAAAATTCGAAACTTAGAGCTCACTTGAAATATGTAGTACCTGGAGGAAGCTCTAGTATTAATCTTAATTTGAATATGCAAGTTCTGCATATTTGGTTGTCTTTGGTTTAGGTTTAGGTTGTCTTTGTTTGTGTACCTTGTGATTCTGTAACAGTATGCTCCTGTTTTACACATTAACAAACATAACTTAAACATTTTAACATTAAATTATATGCCTTAGTCCACGTGAACTCCAGTAGGATGAAACAAGACCGAACACTGAACCGTGGTGCTGAGTGTAAGCAAAGGTGGCAGATCAGCTGAGCTGAGGGGACTGAACAAGGGACTTGTCAAGTGCTTGGGAAAGTCAGTTGGTTTTTTGTGAAGCATTTCAAAAAGGAAAAGGGTCCCCAACATAAAAAGGACATGGACCTGTTGGAGTGAGTCCAGAGGAGGCCACAAAGATGCTTAGAGGGCTGGAGCACCTCTGCTCCAAGGACAGGCCGAGAGAGTTGGGGTGGTTCAGCCTGGAGAAGAGGTCTACAGGGAGACCTTACAGCCCCTTCTAGTCCCTAAAGGGGGCCTACAGGAGAGATGGGGAGGGACTCTTTTTCTGTAGCAATAGGATGAGGGGTAATGTTTTTAAACTGAAAGAGGGGAAATTTAGATTAGATACTAGGAAGAAGTTTTTCATTGTGAGGGTGGTGAGACACGGGAACAGGTTGCCCAGGGAAGCTGTGGCTGCCATATCCTTGGAAGTCTTCAAGGCCAGGCTGGATGGGTCTTTGAGCAACCTGGTCTGGTGGGAGGTGTCCCTGCCCATGGCAGGGGGGTTGGAACTAGATGATCTTTAAGGTCCCTTCCAACCCAAACCATTCTATGATTCCTCAGTCACGAAGGAACTATAGTACAGTGCTTCGTACAGCTTCTCCGATAATGGCCCTATGATCTGTAGCAACAAGAAGTAAATGGAAATTCAATACTTACATGCTGACCTAAACCTAACTGAATACACAGCATTAATTTATTTTTTTTAAGTTGTACGGAATGGCAAGACTGACTATCTGAAGCTGCAGGGGTTGCTCATAAATGTCCCTCTTGGTGACAGGTTCTAGACTGGGACACCAAAACAAGATCACAAGGTGCTTGCTAGTCATCTGTGCTTATCTCTCTGCAAGCAAATCCAATAAAACCTTTTATGAATCTGTCAGAACTCCACAAGATTTAATAATGATCTGCTACACTAGAATGTATTTGTCAGCAGCGGCTGAGAGGTAATAAGTGCCTGTGCAGAGAGATAAGAATTATAGTGTAAAAAACCTCTAGGTAAAGATGTTCTGGGCTGCTTCTTGCTGAAAAACAAAAATTAAAACAGTTTTTTACCAAATGATTTTGGGGAGGTTGTAGCACCACATACTCCTTTAAACCTGTATCTAATCTGCCTAATAGAGTTAGAAACCCCAGTGAGCCAAATGCAAGAGAGGGTTTGTCCATGCGGCAAACGTCCTGGAACAGCAAATGGAGCAATCCGCTGTTCGGTGCTGGGAAGCTCTGGTGGTGTTTGGGGAGAGGAGTAGTTTGCTGTTATTGACAGCAGCCTGCTCAGTTCACATGGGTTCTTGGGGCTTTCTCCATCTCATTAGTTTAGCAGCCTCCAGTTTTTTTTGTCCTTTTGCAGCCAGGCGCATTGCTGAGCCTGGGGGACATGTCCTCTCCTGTCACATTGATCTAGACACACGGCAAGAATGGTGAAGCAGGTGCCCTTCTCTGATGAGCCAGCCCTGTCGCTTCTTATAGGAATGTATTTGAGAGTGGATTTGTAAAGCTACAAACCCTGGCGCTGGTCATGACAATGAAACAAGCTACTGTCTGTTTTGGCATCTTGGCCCAAAGCTTTTTGACTTTGTCTACCAGAGTTATATACGTTATTTAACTGCTTAGCTTTTCCTGGTGTTAGTTTTATGGCTATGAACCCACGTACCAGTGCAGTGTCTTTCTTCACTTGTTCAGAAGCAGTTGGGCTTTAGGGATTCTCTCTCCTTCTCCTGGGGCCTGTTTAAGGCTGGACCAGCAGAAGGAACAGGGAGTGTTAGGAGGAAGATCGGGCCACTCTGTCTGAAGTGAAGATATGGGAGAGACATCTTAGGTGGATGGGAGAGGGTACATTATGGGTAATAGAAGCCTTGAATTTGTGTTATATGAGAGAAGATGCAGAGATCTCTGCATTCTTCATGCATCATAACACCAGCAACAGAATTACACCTTTTTACAGGCAATACCACAGTTAATGGTTAAGATTTCTAAGCAATGGTAGCTATTTATAACAAACTTCTGTAAGGTTTAGTTTGGAGATTTCTAAAACAGTAGATATACTCTCAAAGGTGCTCTCGGGGGTAGCTACAGCTCTCGGTGGCACAGCTTTCATTCCCTCCAGCCTAGAGACAATTCTTCCCATGACAGCAGATGCCATGCGGATTTAGTTGTCTGTGTCCCAAATAACCGCTTATATTATCTTCATAATAATTTTAGCAGATTCTTTGCAGCATGACATGCAGTTAAAACAATCTGTATATATCCTTGTTTTGAACTAAAATATTCAAAATGGAATTTATAATAACGCGGTAGCCTAATGCTCCATTGGTCAGACAGGATAATCAGGGCTATTGTCATTCAGCTAGAATGAGGAGTTCAGAGCCACTGTAAGCTTTTCTAATAAAATTAGAGCAGTCTGACTTCTTGAGCAGTAGGGAAGATGAGGTTTCCAACTGTTTCTACAAGGGAATGTAAAATATGATGTTAATATCTGGCTTTGGCATTTTATACATTAGAAATCAGGCTTAAATTAAATTTCCTGGGCTCCTTTGGTGAAGATTTCTTTTTTTTTTTACGTGGGATACATTGGTTTACCAACTTACACTATAGAACATCAATGAGTATAAATTAAGCACCCTTGTGTTAAACCTGAAACATCTTAGTACCTTGATGTTTCTGTGTAAAAATGATAAATTGTTGCATCTTTTTCCAACTGAAAATTTGTCAAAGTAAGGAAAACGGGAAGTAAGTAAGTAAGGAAAACTTCCTCCATGAGAGGAAGTGAAAAGTGCAGAATCTCCTTCTTTAATAGGAGGCAGCAGTTTATCAAACAGGGTTTTTTATGGTGATGCACAGCTGAGGTGTGTAACTCTGTGACAGAGAAGGAAAGATTTCCAGACAAATGTCTTGAAATAACTGATGGGTAGTGGTGGGTTAGAGATTTGGGTGCTTATTAGTCCCTGAGTTTCAAGTGTATGGCCGTCTTTGTAGACAGCCTCTCCCTCCTGGAATGACTGCTAGTGATGGTGCACGAACCCCTGCAGTGTGCAGGGCTGGGATACACATCTTCAGGCGTGCAAATAGATGTGAGCATACGTACACATCAAAGCCTAGACACAGTGGAGGCCAGGACATCCATGTCTCAAAACAAGCTTGGCAGTGCCTCGCTCAGGGAGCGTGTTGAGATAGCACTGTAGAGGGTACTGGTGGTGAACGCCGTCCAACTGCAACAGATGTCAAGGAGCGATTTCAAGCCGTTGGCAAAACTCTGCTGGAGTCCCAGGGCTTGTCCCTGCCGGGTCTGCCATGACATGTGCTCGTTGCTGGGTCTGCCATGACATGTGCTCGTTGCACGCTTTGGCAGGAAAACCATCTCCGAGAACAGCACTGCTGTGCCAGCAAGGTTACCCTGCACCCTCCGGCTGGGCCTGCCGGGGGACAGAAAGCCCTTGCTAGTATTTTGTTACTGCGTTATAATGCACTGAAATTACAATTGCTAAATGAGCTTTCTTTGGGAAATCAGTAAATATGTGGGGTTTTGCTTGTCTTTTTCTTATGGTCAGCTGCCAAAGACTGGGGAACTGCATGGAAGAAAAGCATAAAGGGAGGAATATATGTTTCTAAGTTGATTTTACAGTGAGGAAAAACCCCATCAATTAACAGGCACAGTGAGAGGGGAAAAAAGCTCTGTTATTGTGCTTGGAAGATCCGTACTAAAATACGTTTTGCTGTTGCCTGCTGCCAGGTTTGTTCCGAAGTTCCAGTTAATAATATTTTGTAAAAGGAGGGGTTTGTCCTATGTTGAAAGCTGTTCTATTATAAATAGTTAAAACGTACACAAGTTACAGAAACAGTTAAGCATCAGAATAAGGTTATTCTCTATGTTACTCTTTACGCAAGTTTATTGAAATCAGATAGAACTGTTTTCTTTCTTTGTTCTTTTTAATTAGGTTACAGCCATCCATCTCTGATAAAGCTTCTACAGCAGCCACAGAACCTGGTAAGTGAATTAAAACGTTAAGTGCTTGAAAGAGTCTTCTCCCTCCTTGTGGCAGTCTTACTTATTTTTTCTTAAACTGATAATGAATGCTTAATGACTCAATTTAAAGTATGGTAGGATCTGCTTGCTTTATTTCTCACTAGATGAAAAGAGCTCAGTAGTGTTTAAGAAGACACCGACACCTCTGTGAAGCTTTACAAGAAGTAAACATTTGGGTGATACAAGCACTCGATATGTTTGCAGCCAGATTTAAATCATAGTTCAAGCATAGCATTTCCAATTAATCATTTTAGCAATGTTCTTGAGTGAAAGCAAGCACAAGTCTTGAGACAGCATATAGTATTTTGAATATGAAAACGGTGGCATAAATCTGGAATGCTGTGGGTGCTTTTTGGGGTTGGTTTTGTTTGTTGTTGTTTTTTGGGGGGGGTGGGAGGGAGTCAGTAGATCCGTGTTGCTGGAGGTATCAAAGGCAGGTCTGGATATCACGGATGAGCATCAGAGATGTTCTTGGTGCCCTGCTGTGGTTTCTGGAGCCCGGGCTGGTTCAGCAGAGAGGGTGGCACTGAGCCTGTTCCCCCCTGCCTGCCCGGGCACTGGGGATGGCTGTTGGGGTTTCAGGCTGCGGCAGCTCCTCAGCGCCCGGACACAGCGCGGGGAACAGCCAGCACTTGTGCAAACCTCGCTGCAGACAGCAGAGCGTGCTGGAGGCTGACAGCAGGTGAAGTGCCAGCTATATTGTAAAAGTACTCTTTTTTGAGGCATACACACTGAGGTAGGGCCTTTGCTTAATGTTAACGATGGGCTCGGTGTTTTTTGGTAGGGATTTTTGGTTTGGTTTGTTTGTAATGTTCCATGTACCTGCTTTATAGCCAGCTATAAAGAACAGAATATGCATCTGCCATTTGAGAGCACAGCAGCTTGATCTCGATGTTCTGTTTTTCTCTGTACTGAGCATCTCATTAGCAACAAAAGGAAAATACACTTTTCTGCTTAATGGCATGTGTTGTCAATTGACTGTGACAGCCCATAATCAAATTCACAATGAATTTATGGCCTCATACCTCTAACTTTCTATGAAAATTTACTTCTAAACTGAGATAAAAAGTCAAGTAAGACTAAACAAAAACTTTGTATTAATCTGTCAGTAGCATCCTTGCTTAGGTTTTTTTTTTAAGCTTGAGTCTGTTGAAACAAACATTGTTTTGGAAGTAACACACTTGTACAAGTTACAAAGTCCTAGCTCATATTCTATTATATCTTGCGTGATCATTGGTTTTCCCTAAGAATTCTGATGACATGTTCTTACAGGTACAGTGTGGCAGCTCACACCTCTTACTGTGGTTCACACATCTGAATAAACGAGTACCTGTGCTGAGGAAAAAGGTTGAAGGCTGCTGATAAATGTGCACTCTTGGGTTGCACTGAAAATATGAATGTGTTGGGGGAGGCAGCCTGTCCCCTCTGGAGACCCGTAAAGACTTAAGTCATCAAAGCTCAGCCTTTAATTTCAAGGATGATTTGTTATAACAATAACAACAAAAACAACTAACAAACAAAAAAAGGGGGGGCAAATAATGCTGCTTTGCAGTTGGAAAATTTATTGAGCTTGTCCATTTCTGCACAAATTTAATTTAAAATAAAAAGTAGCACATGGTGAATCAAATAAGATTACCTACAAAGACTAAGAGCAATGATGAATCAATTTTAATCCATGACACTTAATTTAAATTAATTGCATAAACATGACGCATTCATCTCCATTAGTGGACCGGGGAGAGAGAGGCGGTTCTCCAGAGCTGCTCTCCAGAAGCTCCTGTGGGCAGCAGCCTCCGCTTTCCCACCAGCTGCTGTTCACCAACACCAACATTACCTTTCTCAAAGACATGAATCCTGGTGCGGCCAGTTCCTAGGACCAGTGGGACAGTTCAAGTTGGAAGGGGCTCAGGTGGTCCCTTGCCCAACCTCCTGCTCAAAGAGCAGACCAGGTAGTTCAGGTAGCTTGAAAACCTCTAAGGAGGGAGACTGCCCAACTTCTTTGGGCAGCCAGATACACTGGGTCACTGCTCTCTCTTGGTGAGGGGTGACAGTGCAAGGTGAAGGTGCTAGAACAGGGAATATTTACCTGCAAAGCAGCGAGTTTCATGGAAAGAGTACAGAGTTGAAAAGGAATTTCACCAACGTGTCTGGATAGATCATGGTCGATGTTCTTGAGTTTGATTAAACACGTCTTGCTGAGTAGCGAGGTAATAACACGCAGGATCACTTTTTGCTGGTGTCCTCACCACACTGGCCATTACTGTACATGCCAGAGGAGCCCAGCAGGGAGACAGCATTCGTGTGTGCACAAGGTTTGGTCAGGAATCCATTTTATTGTATCGTTGTGTTGCTGCTCCTTGCACATATGTTATCTTTCTCAGATGCAGCCTCTGTTCTTCAGCTGTATCTGTGTCTTGTTCCCCCAGTTCCCATTGTAATAGCCTCTGGTGGATGTTTATAACCATGGTATTCTGAAATGGTCTTTCCTCAAGCTCAGTGAGGAAGCAAGCACTGGTATCCTAATTGGAATTAGATTTAGCTACACAAACTGAAAGCAAGTAGTTAAGGTTTTAAAGTGTATTTCCTGTGTATAAGGAAAATTGAGATTGAGCAACTGGAACAGTGATATTGAAGAGGAAACGTTGTGTATAAGGAAAATTGAGATTGAGCAACTTGAAACAGCGATATCGAAGAGGAAACGCCAGTATGAGTTAGCATGCCCCTTTTCTAAGGTGTCCTGCAAAAATAAAGTATTAAGGATTAGACAGAAAAGCATATTCTAAGACATTAATGTTATTCCCTGGTTTTAAAACTCCTTGTGCCATGACTACAAATTTTTGGCTGGTATTTATATTTAGAATAAAATGTAACTGCCTTGATATCAACGTGATAATTTTCACAATAGTAAAGCCTAACAATTTCACTTCCTTTGTCTTTGTAGAGCACTTTTATCAACAGACCTGCCCTAGGGATTTTGCCTCCAGAGAACTTTGCGGAAAGACTGAAGGAATCTTTGCTATCAGTAAGTCTGAGATAGCAGTGATGAGTTACTGTGTGTTTAGGGACAGGGGCAGACCAAGGGATTTCAGTGGGGACCATTCCAGGCTGGTTCATTGTCCACCTGCCTTCCCACTGAGTAACAAGACCCAGCCTTTGTCCCTGACTTGACAGCTGAACATGAGAGGGTGACGTGTCTGCTCCACACAGATACTGCCTCTTTCAGCCTGGATTCAAGAACTGATGAGAAAACACATTTTCTCAAACTTCTGTTCGCTGTGTTTCCATAAGAGATAGTGGAATAAGTGGCTTCTGTTTGTCTTGATTTAAATTTGAAGTTCCTTGGGACCAAAACTGAGTCAAGCCCTCTCTGCTGCAGTTGCAATTTGCTTTTCTCATCATAAGGCACAGTTGGTCTCCCATTATACTGAAGCTCCTGGTGTTCAGGATTGATCAGTGTTATCATCACTTTGCACTATATTTGTGCTTAATATTTTGGAGTAATTTTCTCTTTTCATTGACAGGTGGCTCCTAAGGGCCTGCCGCAGGTGATCACCATGTCGTGCGGATCCTGCTCTAATGAAAATGCCTTTAAGGCAATATTTATGTGGTACAGAGTGAGTAAAATAATTAAGATTTTTTTTAATAGGCTTAGATGTAGAAATGAGTATTTACTAATCATCAAAACCATTACTATAAAACAAAGTAAGGCTTGGAGGTTGTCTCGTTCACGATGTTATTAATATTCAACTCTGTATAAAAATCTTTATTAAAAAGTCTCCGTTTAAGCTTTCACTTTATATTGACACAACTTTAGAAATAATGAAAAAAAGGAAATAAGGAAAATGCAGATTGCAGTCAGTATGTAAGAGCCAGAGTCAGTCTCTTCATTGGCTCTAGTCTGGAATATCAGCATTACTCACGTGTGGTTCAGCCATAAATGCATCGGTTACAACTAAAGGAAAACTATCTGTTGGGTTTGTTGGCTTTTTTTTGCAGAACAAAGAGAGGGGCCATAATAACGTCACACAAGAGGAACTGGAGTCTTGCATGATTAACCAGGTAACATTTGTTCTCTACCACACACACAGATGTACCATTGCCTGGGGTTTGTAAGGGAAGATGGGGAGGAAAAATTGGCTTTACTGCTTCTGAAGTGGTAGAATCTTAGTTTCATAAATTTAGGAAATGGTAAAATACAAACTGCTCCCAACAAATATCAAGACCTGCTGCTTGTATTCTGCATCCTTCCCAGCTGTGAATCTTGGGAAGATCTCCCTTTTTTCATGACATCATTTGCTAGAGAGCGACTTGGGTGATGGATAGTCCATGGAGATCATTAATACATGCAAAAGTTTATAAATAATAACAGATCTTCTAGGTTTTTGTTTTTTTCAGAAGTTGTTATTTTATGGCTTGAAACTGATCAAGTGGTTGGTTAAAATTCAAGTGACTAAATGTTAACAGAGGGAGGATGAGGAAATTGAGATGCAGCTGATAAACCTTTGAAATCCTATTCACCTTCAACCAAGGTGGTTCTGCTCTTGCTGGTCACAGATCTTAACATGCAACAATAGCAGAAAACAGAGCATTTAATCTCTTCTTTGAGATAAACATGTTAGAAATGAATAACCTGCTGGTCTCAGACTGAGCTTTGGCACTTCTGTGGTGATGAGAATTCAGTTCATTCACTCAGGATTAGGGAACTCATTTGTCTTTAAAAATGAGGAGGATTCTTTTAGGTTGTTTGTTTGTTTGATTTGTCTTCAGAGTTGTAAGTTCGGTGGTGTTGCTTACAGCATGGTCAGAGAGATGGCTGTGCCAGTACAAGTAAGAGGATGGCACACCATGACCTGAAGGAACAAGATGACCAAAGACTTGCAAAATTAACGATCACTTTTTGTCCAAGTTTAGCTGTATAAACATTAGGAGTCCTCTTTGAGTTAATTGGCTGAGTTCTCTGTACAGCTGGGGGAGGGAACGGATTTGAGGGGGGAACTCCATCTCCCTTTTGGGGGGGATCCTCCATAATCCGGTTACAAGCATTGGAGCCTTGGCCCTGTTGCTGAGTACGGGGTACAAGGCTAAAGGTGTAACTGAGTGTGTAAGTGGTGCCAGTCCTCTCACTTGCAGGGTAACAGAGAAGAATAAAGAAAGAGAAATTTGTATTTTTAGAGGGGGCAGAGGGATTAGCCCAATCCTTTTATTAAATTCCAGGTAGTACACAGTTTGTGTGTCATTTGTCACGGTTCCTTCTTATTGTGGGCAGAGCGAGGCACCACGAGCACGTGGGGCAGCCCTGGCCTCTGCTGGCAGAGCCCCCAGTGCCACAGCTGTGCCCGGCCACCCTGGCCACGAGTGCCCCGTTCGTACAAGGGGGTGGTTGTACCGAGCGTTCAGCTTTGTGTGAGCTCATGTGTGAAGGGAAATTACCATTCAGTGTAAATTGCCAGGTATTAATGGGTATTAATGATGCATTTTAGGAGGTCAGGCAGTTTTTAGGGGACAACAAATGTTATTTGTTTAAATGGGTAAATATAAGGGTTAGTGGTGGTTGAAGAGGCAGAATGGTGTGCTCTGAGAGGCAGCAGCTGGGCTGCAGCCACCCCGCGGTGCTCGGCCGTGGGTCGCTGACGGCCGCCCCTCTGCTCTGTTGCAGCCCCCCGGCTGCCCCGACTACGCCATGCTCTCCTTCATGGGCGGCTTCCACGGCAGGACCCTGGGTAAGCAACGCCCCGCGGCAGCACCTCCCCTCCCTCGGCCTCCCACAGCCCCTGCAGTCACCCCTCAGCCCACTGCCCCTTCTGAAAAGGGGGGGTCCCTTAGACAAATAGCACCCGCGGAGAAGCTCTCAGTTCACTGAAGGTTTGCTCTGGAAGCCCCCCCACTACTGAAACAGAATATCTGAGAGGCAGTGGGAATTAATTTATTTTTTTTTAATTTATTTTCAGAAAGTCCCTTATTTTCATTCTGTATCCGAGGTGTCCTGTCTATACTGGTAAAAATCTAACTCCCGGAGTAAAATTATCACAACAGACAAATGAGATGTCACTCATTTTTACCATTTTATATTGGCTTTATCCCTGTTATAGACATGTTACCCAAGAGTGCTGTAGTTCTGAACTTTGTGACCAGTTGCCTTGGGACTTGCCTGAGCAACCTGTTCAGACTGACTGAGGTTCTGTTCTTCTGGAACTGGTGCTTAAAATGCTAGAGCCATCCCCTTAAGCTTGACTAAATCCAATTGCCCAGTATTTCAGAAAATAAAGTAAAAGTGTAGAGCATTTAGGAGAATTCTACAGTCCTGGTGTCAGGCAATTTTTCACCTCTTGGTAGCCGTTTTCCTGTATTGTTCCTAGTCAGGTATTATTTTAATTTTTGCTGTCCTGGGTTTAGGTTGCTTAGCTACAACTCACTCAAAAGCAATTCACAAACTGGACATTCCATCGCTGGACTGGCCTATTGCTCCATTTCCAAGGCTAAAGTATCCTCTGGAAGACTTTGTGAAAGAGAATCAACAGGAAGAAGCCCGCTGTTTAGAGGAGGTAAAAAATTCACTGGCAGCTTTCTGTTGTTTTTGTTTTGCAATAATGAATAGTGTTAGTAGGATTAGCTGCTTTTCGCTAAAAGGATGTTTTCAGGGATTGGAACAGCATGTGACTCAAACAGCATTCACTGCTGTTTACGGTCAGGAGCCTGTCCCTGCCGTTCAGACCAGCCAGCTCGCTGAGTCTCAGAGGTCTACCTGAATGGCACCAAGGGGACGTTTCACACACAGAAGTTCACTTATCACAGTGAACTCGTCAGCTGGATCTTGAGAAGTAGAGCACAGTGTGTCTAATCCTCTGCAGAGACAACCTGTAGCAGGATTTCAGGTTTCCAGCCTGCCTGTGGTAGCCTGCTGGCATAAAGCTCTGACCTGCCTGCGGCAGCAGGGACTCTGCCTTCCCTAGGGCGGGAGGAAGGAAAGGCAGCAGAACAGCCTCAGGGGGCAACCCCTCCCCGGGTGCCAGAGCCCTGGCATTCCCTGCTGGGATCCCTGGGATCCAGGGTCTGTCACTCGAGAGGCGGCGGTGGGGAGGGGGAACTGTGATGCTAAAAATCAACCCACAGACTTGAAGCCATTATTTAAAAAACAGAAACAAACCCAAAAAACCCCAAATAAAAAGCCGACGGCGTTCTTTGACAGTCTGTGAGTTGGCTTCCTGGCACCCCTGGGGAACCATGGCTCTGTACAGCCTGCAGGGGTTGAGGGCCCTGGAAGCTGCAAGTGCCATTTCAAGTACAAATGACACTACGAATCGCAGCCACTAGCGCTACAAGGTTAATTAAAACTTCTTTATAGGCCCCTTATCAGCAACAGGATTTCTGCACTATGTAATCTGATTAATTTTAAAGTATCTGCAGTGGTAACTAGAAAAAGCAAATTTACCAGGTCACCTTCTTTAATACATTGGCTGAGATCTGTTTTCTGACACAAAATCTGTTTTCTTCTGATTTGCTTATGTGGAATGACAGCAAACCGTGCTGGCTCCCACCGTACTCTCAGCTGAAATGTGCTAGAGCTTTCACACCACTGTGGATAAAAGTGCAACAAGTCGCGATGTGTTTAGGATATGATTTAAACTTAAGCATTATTCAGGAACAAGAGGGCAGTGTTAAATCCTGGAGGGACTTCTTATTAATTCCTTATGCTTCCTGACACCATTATAGCCAGGAATGTCTACGGAAAGTTGAAGTTCTGTTGCTGAGATTTTATCTTTCTGGGGGGAAATGTGCAAATGTCCTGAAAGGAGAATGTACCGTAAATGTCTGATCTACAGGTGGAAGATCTGATTGTAAAGTACAGGAAAAAGAAGAAGATTGTGGCTGGAATCATTGTAGAACCAATACAGTCAGAGGGTGGGGACAATCATGCTTCAGATGACTTCTTCAGAAAGCTGCGAGATATTGCCAGAAAGGTAATCAAATATTTCACTGTTCACTCAGGGGCAGCTAAACATAAAATAATTCTTGGTGTCCCCAGAGGCCTGCCCTGCCCCAGACACTTTGGGGAGGTACCTACAGGTACATTATGTGCTCAGATACAAGTCACCCCTTGTCAGCACAGTATTTTTCTCTTCCATTGGATGCACACGTTTCCTCAGTCCAATAAATTTTTATCTAATGTCCAAGTGAAAGAGAAATTACTCTGATTCATTAACTGTGGGTTTTGCAGTAGTGTTCTTTAAATGGTAATGCCAATTTGTTGAGGGGGTTCAATCAATTTCAGAAGAGGCAGGTTTGGAAAAGGGTAATTTTTTTTGTTGACATACTTGTTTTTAATTGCAAAAAAAGCTGAAACAAACTGAGTCCAACCATAAGTGCTGATGTTCCAATAAAACAATGAAAAGGACGTATGTCTTGATGCTTGGAATGTGAAGTTACCTGTTTGGAAGTGATGACCCTCAATAAGACCTATTCTGTGCTTTTTCACCCTCAAAACATTTGTGTGCTTAAAAAGAAAGGCATTTGGAAAATTCTGTTCTGCCATGAGGAATAGCTGCTTTTCCCATTGTTAACAGTTGCTCATGCGAGGGTGATGTTGTAAATAAGGTGAAATGAAAAGGTTTGCCTTGTCTAAAATGAGATGCTGCCAAAAGCACTTACCAAATTGGTTTATTGTGATATAGCTTGATCTCCCTGTCCCAAAGTTTCAACAAAATAGTGCTTTGCATAAAAAAACCAAAACCACATTAACATCTAAAATGAGTAGCTCTTCCAGTAGACTCACCTGACACGGCAGCTCTTCCAGGAGCATTTTAGGCCCCTGGACTGAACAGGTCACGCTGCTGGTATTGCCTTCGTGCCACACATGCCTGACTCAGATTGAAACAGAGGCTTCTTATTTAAAACAAGCAAAACTCCTAAAAAATTACACTTTGCTTCGCTCAGAGGCTTTGAAAATGCCACCCAGATTCCTGGAGGTGTTTTCAGATATTCTCTAGAAATGTTCAAGACTATATATAAAAAAAATGCATAGATGATATATAAACATGTACTTTGTGAATTCGGGTAGAAAATATGTTTCTATTGCCTTTCTGATAAAATATCTGAATTTTCAATTGTGAAATGCAATGCAGTGAGAGGTGTTGGTTGAGGAGGGGAGGTTTGGAGGGGTGAGGGGAGAGGCAAGAGGGATGTTGCTTGTGATTGGTTTGTATTTACCCGATGCCCGGACTGACGCTCCCGCTGTGTCCCGTCCCGCAGCACGGCTGCGCCTTCCTGGTGGACGAGGTGCAGACGGGGGGCGGCTGCACGGGCAAGTTCTGGGCACATGAACACTGGGGCCTGGATGACCCAGCCGACGTGGTCACGTTCAGCAAGAAGATGATGACAGGAGGATTCTTCCACAAAGAAGAGTTCAGGCCAAACGCTGTAAGATTTTCAGTGAAACAAACTGTGCTAGCTGGGGGCCCATCCATGGAAGAGACAGGCTTTCCTTCAGGGACGCAGGCTCAGCTGCATGGAGCTGCTGGTTCATAGCTCTGGGCTTACATAAAAGCTATTGTCACTTCTTCACTTTTATTCCAGCTGCTGTCAGGCACAAAGGTCAGACAGGTGGTGGGAGGGGGTGCAGAACTGGGTTTAGCCTCCTGAACTAACCTTCAGTACAAAATCCAACCACAAACCAACACCTTTTTCCATAGGGCAAGGAGCTTATATGTCACCATCAGGGATTCTGTCAGCAAGATTTCTTCTTTGCATTAGTGACATTTTAGACGTAATAAATAATGAGCAAAAGATATAAAGGGGGAGAACGTAAACTTGAATGTCAAACCTGTGTAGAAGATGCTGATTTCTATGTCACATTTCAGTGAGGTGTCAGAGCAGCAAGACAGAACACATTAAACCTGTAGCATAAAGTAGTTGCCCTTTGTTTCTGCTGGGCAGGGCAGCTCTGTTTCACTTTTACAACACCAAAAAAGGGGGTCGGTGAGTTAGAGCCTGCTTTTCCATACACCAGATGTTTGCATTCCCAGTGTGATGGCTTGCTCTTCTCTATTGTAGTGATTTGCCTGCTAACGTGTTCCACAACTCTCTCTCCCCCCTTTCCCAAGCCCTATCGGATTTTTAACACCTGGCTTGGAGATCCATCCAAGAACCTCATGCTCGCTGAAGTCATTAAGGTTATTAAAAGAGAAGACCTTCTGAACAACGCAACCCACGCTGGGAAAGCACTACTGACTGGGCTGCTGGATTTACAGGTAAACCCCTGGAAGGATTATTGACAAGAAAGAGAAATTTGCTGATCAGGTAGGATCTAATCTAATCCAGTTTAAGCACTCGGACTGAGGAACTCCAGCTGGGAACTGGACCATAATGGTAACCTGCTGGTTTAGGTACTTCAATGCAAGCCTGAATAACTGTGCCCCACTTTGAATTGAAGTAAACTTTCTTTTAGTGCCATAAAGATGTTGGGTTTATATAGCTTAATCCAAAATAAAGGGTGATCCCAAAAATATCTGAAGGTATGAACTGCAGCTAGTTAAATTATTTTGCTAGACATCTCTGTTACCCCAAACACGTAGCATTTTGTTGTCCCAAAAGGTCTTTTTAAAGGAAAGTGTCCTTATATTTTGTTACAATTCCATTGACCTCTTGGAACAAGAATATTGTAGCTTTCCTTCACTTGACTAAGAGAAACTCCTTCACAGCTTGGGCTGTGGAGCCCACGTCAGACTGGAAATCAGCCAGGTGTTTAAGGGCAGGCTTGCAGATACCTCGGAAAAGGTGCTCTGGGCACCCGTCATGCGGGGTAAGCCCAAATACCATCTCTGCTCTTTGAACAGCTTCAAGGCATAGGGACAGGAAGAAACAAGAAATTAGAATCTTCATACTTTGGAGGGCCAGCATACAACTGGTACTGTCCCAAAAGGGTTGTAATAGATAGTAAGTGAAGCAGATGATACTAACAAGTGTCTCAGTGCAGCAGAATGAGCTGGTTTCTAGCCCCATTCCAGATTATTTATGCCCATTTTGCTGGAGTGTATTTTAGAGGTGAGGTGCTTTATGCTCACTTCAGGAGGCTCCAAGTAAGATCTTACTTGACCCGGCTCAGGGGTGCAAATTCATCCTGGCTTCCTGCCGGGCCGTGTACCTGCCTTGTGAGGAGACCCTGCCAGCCCTGTGGGCTGGGAATATTCCTGGGGCCATCAGGACAAGGGCTCGGTGAGGAATCCAGCCTTGGCCAGATGGGAAGCAGCAGCGGGGCTCCCTGTGGGTCGCTGCCCGGCAGAGCACAGCAGGTGCCCTGTGTTGCAGCAGCTGCCATGCGTACACCTCACACACACCTCACACACACCTCACCTCTCTTTGCAGGCTCGTTACCCCCATCTTATCAGCAGAGTGAGAGGAAGAGGCACCTTCTGTTCGTTTGACACTCCAAACGATGCAACTAGGAACAAGTTAATTACAATAGCCAGGAACAAAGGTAAGAAGCCAGTAGAGCATTGGCAGCTTGGAAGGCTGTTTGAGCTGTGCTGGATGGAGTCTTTCCACCATCACTGGGATTAGTCCCACCACTCCCAGTGTTTCACAGAGCAGCCACAGGCACCCACAGCGTTCTTCTGAGTGGCTGGGAGCTCAAGGTCCCTTTGCACCACGGACCACGTGCTGTGTCACTGTGGGGTTAGGCAGCTTCTGCTCTGCTGGGCCTCTGCAGTGAGACGAGCCCCCTTCCGAGACCTGCATTTTCTGGGTATTTGGCAAAGATGGGAATAACTAAGGAGCCTACGGTGTTCTTGTTTTAGGTGTTGTGCTGGGAGGCTGTGGTGACAGATCCATTCGTTTCCGTCCAACGCTGATCTTCAAGGATCACCATGCGCACCTCTTCCTGAACATTTTCAGTGACATCTTAGCAAACTTCAAGTAAAAAGCAGTTCCCTTGCACTGAACACCTGATTATGAAATTAGTTTGCATTAATTCATGTCTTCTCTACTCACAAGATAAGTGTAAAGTCATAACCTAAGGTTTGTGTTCTGTCTGTAATCCTGCCCAAGGCGAGCTGCTCCATCCAACCCAGCCCAGGCAGAGCACTGGTACTGGTCACCAGCAGGTACATCCAGCTGTCCCACTGTGCACCGGTAGAACCTGTGGCCCTCCGTCTCCTGGCTCGGGTCATATCAATTGCAGAGCCCTCTCTCCTTCCACAGCCCTGTCTGATGGTCTGTGACCTGGCACAGTCCACGTCCCGGTGAGCCTGGCAGATTCACTCTCGCCTCCGGAAGCGGCACCGAGTGGCGTAGCCCCGAGCCACGCGCCTGCCAGACAGAACCTGCCATTCTCCCATGGCAGCTGCAATAAAAGAGGTGTTTCAAGGAAAGCGCTGCTTTCCACCACTGCCAAGTACAGTATTTTCCAGAATAATTTCCCCCCCTGAACACAGATGTTGCCGCTGGCCCAGGATGCCGTCGGCTCCTCTGTGCCCCCCCCTCAGCCTGCACGTTCCGCTTCGCGGGCACCGCTGCTCTCGGCCACGCCTGCAGTGCTCCCAGGGGAACTAAGGGACTTGTACTTTTTTCCCTCATCCTGGATTTTAAAACTTTTCACTTCTCTTACAATCAAACTTGTACAGAGAAAACTATACCCTAAAGTATATAATTTGACAAAGCTTAGAGAGCCGTATGAAGCGCACTATTTCCTCCTCTCAGCAATCTAGAGTGATTTGAGATGATTTTACCATTTGCCGATAACAACAATAGCCATTAAATTAATCTGTAACAAGTTCTACATGAATACTTGAGGTATTTTGTAAAACTACAGCAGAACTGCTTGACCTTAGCCATTACCTGACATCAGAGCCACTACAGCGAAGGCCTAGTCCTAACTGCACACTTATAATGCAAAGGAATTCTATTTTTGTTTTAATAGTGAATTCTAAGTCATTGATACTTCAGTGAGCTTCTAGAAAGCCACAGGATCAAAAAGTGTCAACACTTCATTAACGTGTTTCTCTTCAGAGAATCGTTTCAGATGTTTCTTTGCTCTTTGCTTCAGGCTGACTTGAACTAGGTCCGGTGCCTTTTTTCCTTTCCCTTGGCGAGCCAGCAGCTGGGATTTACTTACTAAGTTTAACTTTCTGTTCTGCACCAAAAAACAGGGACCACAGCAGACTTTACAGTTGCCCTATTAGGATTTGACCACAATTTTTAAGTATGTAATAAAAGAGAGTTAAAAGATTTACATGTTTAGTACAGCTACCAAAACGTGAAGGGTTTCTTACCTGCTTTGAGAAGTGCTAATCATGGTTTTCCCATTTCATTTTTCAAGTGCTGGTACTGGGGGAAACTCAAGCACACACTCGCTTCTGCTGGCTTAAAAACAACAGGATTTCTGTAAACCTCTCTGCAGAAACCAGAATTCTGGTACCGGCTGGTCAGAACCTGAGCAGGTTTTTGAGCAGAGGTTGTAGAAATCGGGGGGAAGGAGCGGTGAATTGGTGTTCAACAAAACCTCATCCTCATCGCTGTCCTCGCGCGCGTATTATCAGCACGAGGCAACTCCAACCCAGACCTCTATCTGACAGCATTTTGGGACTTAGTCTGTTCAACATATCAGTGCCGTAGTTTTAGTAAATGTCTCTAGCAAGTCTTGTACTTTTACAGAAGCAAAGGTCCAGTAATTTGAAGTCTTACCACATCTTCACTTTTATTATGAATACTCTAGGTGTTTTTATAATTTTTACTGACACTCAGTAACTGTATAATTGTGTACAAGATGTTGATGAAATCATGTTAGAGAATACATAGAAAGCACTGCAGCTGAAGCATATAAAGTTAATATTGTTTACAGCATACTGTGGACAGTGCCAAATAAATGTTTAAGCAAATACTGAACTACACTTCATGGTGTAACTAGTAACTGTACACAGACTCATAAAAAACGACATCTCATGTGTAATCAGTATTCTTAAATAAAATATTTATAATTGAATTTCTCCAGGGCTTTTTATTTTACATCTAGTACATCCCCATAAACTAAATCATTAGTGCCTGTTAAGTACATTCTTGTGCAGATAAGCCTCCAGAAACCACGCTGGATGCACACAGGCCACTGTATTTTGCTGCCATGGTGTTTAAGCCAAGGAACTCTTTTCCTTTTGATGCTGCTGCTGCAGCAGCACACAGAATCAGCCAAAACTTAAAAAAATGGAGCCCCCAGCAGGAAAAGTTTAACATGAATAAATACTAAATCAGGGACAGTCCGTGCACTTAAATGGCAATTTTACTTACCTGCATCTGCCGATCCACGGAGGTTTCGATATGCCTGGGGAAGAAAGAGGGCAAAGAACACTCCAGATTTCTCTGTTGGTGAGGGACAGTTTATTTGCTGTTGTTTCAAATGAAACGACAGCCTGAAGAGCAGTGGAAGTTTACTTGCTTCTGACAACTCAAAAAAAAAAAAAAAGTTTTACTTTACAATTGCTCAGGTTTGACTCTTTCATGGGTTGAAAATTCAAAAAAAAAAAAAAAGTTTTACATGTTACAATTGCTCAGGTTTGACTCGTTCATGGGCTCCAGATTTCTCTGTTGGTGAGGGACAGTTTATTTGCTGTTGTTTCAAATGAAACGACGGCCTGAAGAGCAGCAGAAGGAGTTTACTTGTTTAAATCCTGCTCCTCATTCCTACTGAGGAATTTGCTTTTGGAAAAGAAGGAATCGCACTAACACCACAGACACAGGTGCTGAGGCGATCAACCCTGAAAGGTCACCAGAATACAAAGTGCCTGTATTTTCAACCTTAATTCAATACAGCTTTTAGGCATCTTACCTTTTTTCTTTCCATGTTAGGTGAGCCCAGACTGGGAGTAGGGCCTGGAAAGGGTATTTGGCAACAGCTGTTGATGAGATCAAATCAGTGAGCGCATCCAGGGGTGCAGGTGCCTTGTTCCCCCTGCTATGGGCTGTCTTCATGGAAAATTGCTTCATTCACGTAGGCTGAGAGAGTTCTTGTAACATTTACTGAAGTTTTTGCAACTCAAGTGTTACAGCATTGATTAAATGTCATTCATACATACAAAACAAACACAAACATGAATATTAAATGTCATTCATACATACAAAACAAACATGAATGTATGCAAAGAAGGACAAGTGTTTCCAAGTTTTCAGATGATGATTAGGATCCAAACTGAAGGAAGGACGCCAGACTGTCCCTGTAACTCACAGCACCGTCGCCTGGGTACGTTTTCCCTTTATTCCAAGGGGGAAGCAGTCTCTATGAGAGGCTCCAGAAACGCTGTCCCCGTCTTCAGCTGACACTTACAGCTGAACTGTGTCTTACAGCACACCCCCTTGTTCTGCCCAGTTACATTCACATCCTGGAAGACCTTCCCACGAGACCCCAGGCACCTCACACAGCATCACCTACCGCTCTTCCCAGTCACCCCGTGTCACCAATGCAGGAGCCCCTACCTCTGACACCCAGCACTGTTTACCACACACGTTTCACACAAGTTTGAATTCCAAGAGGCTTCCCAGTCAACCTAAAATCCGCTAAAAGAAACAATGAATTTATCATGCAGATGTCTGGCAGAGTTACTGCATTTTGCTTCAAAAGTTATTCCTGTTCCAAACACTCCAAGAGGCTGGCTGAGAGGGTCAGGGTCAGACTTGGCTCCTCCTGCCCGCTCCAAGCAGGGCAGCAGTGACAGGAAACCAGGCACGGGGCTGTACCCAACACGGAAGAGACGCTGCTCACACCTTACACAAGCTGCGGAGACACTGAATCCAGTGGGTTGTTCTTTACCATTTCTACTGTCTACACCGAGTGCACTTACCAGCAGGCTTTGCTCAGGAAAATCAGTACCTCAGTCTAGTAAACTAATTAAACTTCCCAGGAGAATAAGCACAATGAACATGCAACAAGGAAAATCACTGGAAATTAGCTGCTGTATCACTCCAGTTTTCCAAATATTTGAGTAAACCTCTGTTTGTCTACAATCTGGCCAAACTTAATTGTAAAATATAAAATATCCGTGCTATTATACCGCTTGAACTGGAGAAGCAGCTCCCCCTTGCTATCTCCAACTTCATCCAAAGTCATCACTGTCTCTATGGGACAGTAAATGTCATTCCGTCTTCCCCAGAAGGTCAAGTGGGCCACTCTGACGGTATGGCCAGTTTCATTTAAGTAGATTAATCCAATAATTCGTCTGAAAAAGTAGCTCATCCCATAGAGCATGGCACCGGCAAAGAGCGCGATGCCAGTGGTGTACAAGAGGACACCCTGAGAAACCTGGTCTTGCAGGTAGAGGTAGCAGATGGGAGGCAGCGTGACCGTGGTGGTGGCTGTCTGTAACAGCTTCAGTCTGGACAGGACCCTGCAGTACTTAATCCACGGAAACCTGTAGACCAGTTTGAATTCTTCTGCTTTCTCCTCCAGAGCCTTTTTGGGGATGGCAGCAGCGGGGGCCGAACGGCACAGACCCACAGACGGCTCCCACCGCCTCCCCAGGTAACGACTCCCAGCACTAGGTCGCCAGTTCTGAGGCTGCAAACAGGGCAGAGGAGCACCTTCCTTCTTCCATGACCCCGTCCAGAGCTTGTTCTGTAGACATCTCCTGGAAGATGGTGCCGTGCAGACTTTAGTCCTAATTCTGCAGAGCCTGGCCTGTAAGGAAAGAGTTCCACCGGTCATCCCTGAGCCTTCTTTAGAACCGAGTTGCCTTTAGCTCAGCATCTGTTCCTCAGGCACCTGCAGCCAGTGACCATGAGCCTCCCCCGCTCCCTGTAACCTTGTACCTGAAGGCAGCACCGGGACAGGGCACAGGTGTTTATGCCACATCCCTCCTGCGGGTGAGGAGGGAAAATACTTTTGGTGCCGCAGCCGATGCCAAAGCTTCCCGCACGCAGCGCCGCGGCACTCCCCGCCTCGCCTCCCAAGCAGCACCCCGGTGAGCGCACCGGCACCGCCAGCGGCACCGCAGCACAGAGGCCCGGCGGCTGCCGCTCACACGCCAAATAACCACCCACATAGCAATTTCGGGAACAACGAAACACGCGGACTATTTCAGCCTTAATTCAATACAGCTTTTAGGCATCTTACCTTTTTTCTTTCCATTTTCCAGGCCCAGACTGGGAGTAGGGCCTGGAAAGGGTATTTGGCAACAGCTGTTGATGAGATCAAATCAGTGAGCGCATCCAGGGGTGCAGGTGCCTTGTTCCCCCTGCTATGGGCTGTCTTCATGGAAAATTGCTTCATTCACGTAGGCTGAGAGAGTTCTTGTAACATTTACTGAAGTTTTTGCAACTCAAGTGTTACAGCATTGATTAAATGTCATTCATACATACAAAACAAACACAAACATGAATATATGCAAAGAAGGACAAGTGTTTCCAAGTTTTCAGATGATGATTAGGATCCAAACTGAAGGAAGGACGCCAGACTGTCCCTGTAACTCACAGCACCGTCGCCTGGGTACGTTTTCCCTTTATTCCAAGGGGGAAGCAGTCTCTATGAGAGGCTCCAGAAACGCTGTCCCCGTCTTCAGCTGACACTTACAGCTGAACTGTGTCTTACAGCACACCCCCTTGTTCTGCCCAGTTACATTCACATCCTGGAAGACCTTCCCACGAGACCCCAGGCACCTCACACAGCATCACCTACCGCTCCTCCCAGTCACCCCGTGTCACCAATGCAGGAGCCCCTACCTCTGACACCCAGCACTGTTTACCACACACGTTTCACACAAGTTTGAATTCCAAGAGGCTTCCCAGTCAACCTAAAATCCGCTAAAAGAAACAATGAATTTATCATGCAGATGTCTGGCAGAGTTACTGCATTTTGCTTCAAAAGTTATTCCTGTTCCAAACACTCCAAGAGGCTGGCTGAGAGGGTCAGGGTCAGACTTGGCTCCTCCTGCCCGCTCCAAGCAGGGCAGCAGTGACAGGAAACCAGGCACGGGGCTGTACCCAACACGGAAGAGACGCTGCTCACACCTTACACAAGCTGCGGAGACACTGAATCCAGTGGGTTGTTCTTTACCATTTCTACTGTCTACACCGAGTGCACTTACCAGCAGGCTTTGCTCAGGAAAATCAGTACCTCAGTCTAGTAAACTAATTAAACTTCCCAGGAGAATAAGCACAATGAACATGCAACAAGGAAAATCACTGGAAATTAACTGCTGTATCACTCCAGTTTTCCAAATATTTGAGTAAACCTCTGTTTGTCTACAATCTGGCCAAACTTAATTGTAAAATATAAAATATCCGTGCTATTATACCGCTTGAACTGGAGAAGCAGCTCCCCCTTGCTATCTCCAACTTCATCCAAAGTCATCACTGTCTCTATGGGACAGTAAATGTCATTCCGTCTTCCCCAGAAGGTCAAGTGGGCCACTCTGACGGTATGGCCAGTTTCATTTAAGTAGATTAATCCAATAATTCGTCTGAAAAAGTAGCTCATCCCATAGAGCATGGCACCGGCAAAGAGCGCGATGCCAGTGGTGTACAAGAGGACACCCTGAGAAACCTGGTCTTGCAGGTAGAGGTAGCAGATGGGAGGCAGCGTGACCGTGGTGGTGGCTGTCTGTAACAGCTTCAGTCTGGACAGGACCCTGCAGTACTTAATCCACGGAAACCTGTAGACCAGTTTGAATTCTTCTGCTTTCTCCTCCAGAGCCTTTTTGGGGATGGCAGCAGCGGGGGCCGAACGGCACAGACCCACAGACGGCTCCCACCGCCTCCCCAGGTAACGACTCCCAGCACTAGGTCGCCAGTTCTGAGGCTGCAAACAGGGCAGAGGAGCACCTTCCTTCTTCCATGACCCCGTCCAGAGCTTGTTCTGTAGACATCTCCCGGAAGATGGTGCCGTGCAGACTTTAGTCCTAATTCTGCAGAGCCTGGCCTGTAAAGAAAGAGTTCCACCGGTCATCCCTGAGCCTTCTTTAGAACCGAGTTGCCTTTAGCTCAGCATCTGTTCCTCAGGCACCTGCAGCCAGTCACCATGAGCCTCCCCCGCTCCCTGTAACTTTGTACCTGAAGGCAGCGCCGGGACAGGGCACAGGTGTTTGTGCCACATCCCTCCTGCGGGTGAGGAGGAAAAATACTTTTGGTGCCGCAGCCGATGCCAAAGCTTCCCGCACGCAGCGCCGCGGCACTCCCCGCCTCGCCTCCCAAGCAGCACCCCGGTGAGCGCACCGGCACCGCCAGCGGCACCGCAGCACAGAGGCCCGGCGGCTGCCGCTCACACGCCAAATAACCACCCACATAGCAATTTCGGGAACAACGAAACACGCGGACTAAGCACGACAAGAGGGGGACGAGACGCGGGGACGCGCAGGACGACAGCAGATAAAAAGAAAGAAGGGAACTGGTGTGCCGCCCTCAGCCCCGGCGCCGCTCCCTCAGCGGCCACAGGCTGGGGCCGGGCCCGACATCGCTCCGGAGCCCGCCCGGGGAGGCCTCAGACGGACCAGAGAGACCACTGCCCCCGGAGCCCTCCGGATGGCGGCGCCGCCTCCGCAGGGCCCTGACCCGGCCACCCACATAGCAATTTCGGGAACAACGAAACACGCGGACTAAGCACGACAAGAGGGGGACGAGACGCGGGGACGCGCAGGACGACAGCAGATAAAAAGCCCACATAGCAATTTCGGGAACAACGAAACACGCGGACTAAGCACGACAAGAGGGGGACGAGACGCGGGAACGCGCAGGACGACAGCAGATAAAAAGAAAGAAGGGAACTGGTGTGCCGCCCTCAGCCCCGGCGCCGCTCCCTCAGCGGCCACAGGCTGGGGCCGGGCCCGACATCGCTCCGGAGCCCGCCCGGGGAGGCCTCAGACGGACCAGAGAGACCACTGCCCCCGGAGCCCTCCGGATGGCGGCGCCGCCTCCGCAGGGCCCTGACCCGGCCCTCTCCCCCGGCCCTCGGCCCCCTCTCCCTCTCTCCCGGGCGTCACCCCGGCCGTTACTCGGCCGTTGGCGCCGCGCGCGGGCACCCCTCGCTCTCCCCCTGAGGCGGCCGCAACCGCTCGCGGTCCAGAGTCGCCGCCGTCGCCTACCGGGCAGCCCCGTCCCCCCCTCCCCGGGCCGCTCACCCATGTCCCCGCCTCCCCGGGCCGCTCATCCCCGTTCCCCCTCCCTGGGCCGCTCACCGCCGCCATGGCTCCCACGGCGCCGCGCGGCAGGGCGGGGCGGGGCGGGGCGGAAGAGGCGTCACGCGCCGCTTCCCGGCGTCCCCCGCGGCGGCAGCGCGCGGCTGAGGGTGCCCCGTCCCGGGCCGCCGCCATGGCTGCGCCGCCGGCCGCCGTGCTCTGCCTCTTCGACGTGGACGGCACCCTCACCGCCCCGCGGCAGGCCGGTACCGGGGACGGGACGGGGGGCTGAGGGGATGGGGCGCGTCTTTCCGCGGGCCGGGGGGTAACTGGTGCCGCCGGCCCGGAGGGGACGCGGGGCCTCAGGGACGGGCCCATCGGGTTCCGCAACCGCTCCCGCGGTGCGCGATGGGCATTTAAGGGGAAAAACCCGTCCCTTCTTTCGCGTTAACGCCGTGCCCGGCGCTGCTGGGCCGGGCGGCCGGCGCGGAGCGGGGCTGCCGTTCTCCCGGAGCGGGTGCTGACTGGCCTCTCTGTCGGGCGCAGAGGATCACGGCGGAGATGGCCGCCTTCCTGCAGCAGCTCCGGAGGAAGGTGCGGGTGGGCGTCGTGGGCGGCTCCGACTTCGAGAAGATCCAGGAGCAGCTGGGCGATGACGGTAGGGAGGGGCTGAGGCCCCATCCTCTTGGCACCCCTCCTTTAAGTGTTTACAGGTGTTGCTCAGATCCCCCCTCAGCCTTCTCTTCGGGACTAAAAAGACCCAAGTTCCTCAGCTTCTCCTCATGAGAGAGATGCTCCAGGTCCCTCATCATCTTTGTGGTCCTCTGCTGTCCCCTCTCCAGCAGTTCCCTGTCCTTCTGGAACTGGGGAACCCGGAACACAACAAGCCTGCGAGGGGGCTGCAGGGGTTAAACGCAGGTTAAACCCCGGTCACTCCCTGCCTCCCCTGCTTTGGAGTGTTTCCCTGGTTTGGTTGAGAAGCTGCAGCCCGTGTTGGGGTTTTGCAGGTGTCTCGGTGTCTTACTAAGGGACAGTTAGAGCAGTGACACCCCAGCTCTGTGACAGGTGACGTACACGTGCAGCCTGCTCGGATGCTCACCCCTGAAGGATCCGATTCTGCTAACTAAGGGGTTACGGTGCAGAGATGGATTCTTGCTTTAGCCTTTTGAGAGGCATTTCCTTTTCTGTATAAAAGTCTGCCTTTACTGGGATTTACTGAGTCAATGCCACCGATGGCCTTCTGTAAGGCTCAGGTAGCTCGGGATTTGTTTGGCTGACAGGCAGTCTCCAGTGAGCCATAACATCTCTGCGTTGCAGTGAGAGTCTCACAACTCTGGGCCAATTCCTGCAGATTAGTAGAATTGAGAAAATGAACCTAGAATAGTAGTATTTGATTTGCTGTGTTGTAGTATTTGATTTGCTGGGCTGTGTGCCAGGTATTTGTAACATTTGAGGGGTTTGGTCACGTCCTTATGTTTAATGCAAAGGGATATACTTTCAGCAGAGGAAGAGCCTTTAAGCAAAAATAGAGGTAACTGAGCTGAAAGGCTTCATGTGGTTTGAGGTGTGTGGAGAGAAGTGAGAGTAGGTTTGATCTTGTGCTCCATGTTACGCTGCTGAATCTTTCATGCTTTGTGATGGAACGTTGACTGTATTCTGACCTGTTTAATAAGTTAGATAATTCTGTGTTAAAAATATAAGGGAAATTATAAATCACTGCCCTTTTTTTTTTTTTGGTTGTAGTGGTTGAAAAATTTGACTACGTTTTTCCAGAAAACGGTCTTGTAGCGTACAAAGATGGGAAATTCTTGAGCAAGCAGGTAAGTGGGAAATTTCCAGTAATGTAAAAGAGACATTTTCTAGGCAGGATTTTGCTTTGTTACTACAGTGAAGTCCTGTATAATCACCCTTCTAACTAAGGGCAAAATTCCCGCTATTTTCCTGTGTTACTTCTGCAACAGATCACTCATTTGTTGCTCCGATTCATGTAATGACAATCTTCAGCTTAAGCTTTATTTTGGTTTGGGTGTTCCCCAAACCAAAAGTTTTTGGAGTCTGGAGGGTCTGCTGGAATAAGAAGAGTGAAAGTCCTGGAACAGCCTTTCCCTCAGCTCAGCCTCAGGAAATGTGGCCAGGCCCAGGAGGTCCTATGGAACATGGCATTTCATAGCTGATGTCCATTGGGCCCTAGGGTTCAGAAGGCTTCTGGTAGATCTCTTGGAGCTTTTGGGGTGTTCCCCAAACCAAAAGTTTTTGGAGTCTGGAGGGTCTGCTGGAATAAGAAGAGTGAAAGTCCTGGAACAGCCTTTCCCTCAGCTCAGCCTCAGGAAATGTGGCCAGGCCCAGGAGGTCCTATGGAACATGGCATTTCATAGCTGATGTCCATTGGGCCCTAGGGTTCAGAAGGCTTCTGGTAGATCTCTTGGAGCTGCTTTGTAGTATTAATTCACAGTGCACGTTCTGATATGCTGCATAAGCTAAAAGGTAATACTCTAAATTAATATAAACATTCAAATTATTCTGGATACCCTCATCACCTTCAGTGGTTCAATATAAGTAATGGAGATTTAAAAATTTGAAAGAAATCCTGGCTGAAATGGCTGACGTGAGCAGCAGCTTCCAGTTTGTTGCAGTAACAGTCTCTGTTTCTTCTCACTTGCCTTCAGCAGATGCTAACTGCAACTTTTTCTTTAGGTCTGCTGTCTTTGGCCCATACTGTTTCCTTCTAAAGCAGGTACTAGAAGGGAGCATATTAAATGAGAGTTTGGTATCATGGTTTAAAAAAAAACAAACAAAAAGAAAAATGAGAGCTGTTAGCTCATCAGCTGAAAGTTAGTTATTGAAGGCATGTTTCTTTGTGTTCTGTTAACTGTGCCTGATTATCCAAGGGCTGCGTTTTCCATTTGACTTGGTTTTTAGAATCTCAAATTCTGGACCTTTGGTTGAATGGTATTTATTTTGTTAGAACATTCAGGGTCACCTGGGCGAGGACATACTTCAAGATCTAATCAACTACTGCCTGAGTTATATTGCAAAGATCAAGCTGCCAAAGAAAAGGTATGTCCATACACACCTCTCATGGCACCACATTCTCCATGTCACAGCGTTGAGCATCAGTATGGAAAGCTCTTTGCTCAGCAAGAAAGGAATAGTTTGTGGTTTAGGAACACTGTGTACGTGAAACAGAGCTCAATCCACGCGTACAAAGAGACGGCCCCAGCTGGAGCACAGGATTTGAAATACTGATTGAGCATTTTTATTCAAGAGGGAAGGAAGTAGGAATATTTCCTTGACGTGTTTGGAGTTCAGCAGCATAATGTTTTCCAGAGTGTGCAGTAGATCAGTTCTGTGTGACACGTGAGGGTGCAGCTGCTCCAGACATGAATACAAACCGTGTGTGAGACCAGCTGGAAACACTGCCAAGATTGCTCTAAATCTTGTTGCTTCACCCCAAAGCTGACAGACTGGCCTGCCAGGGTCTGAGAAGTGGGTTGTCAGGATGCTCCAGTGGTACTTTTAAAACCAAATCATACTTTTAAAACCAAATCATACTTTTAAAACCAAATCATACTTTTAAAACCAAATCATACTTTTAAAACCAAATCATACTTTTAAAACCAAATCATACTTTTAAAACCAAATCATACTTTTAAAACCAAATCATACTTTTAAAACCAAATCATACTTTTAAAACCAAATCATACTTTTAAAAGTCAGTAAGGGTGATGTTGAGGTTGCCGGGTTCAAATAAGAGTCAAAAACTCCTTGATGCCAGAGGCATTGGTTCCTACGTGTTGTTTTTCATGTGTACAGTGAGAGGCTGAAGGAGACATCTGATTCCCATTGTCTTCAGAATTAAACAAAAGTTCTTTGTGATATTCAGTATTTTGAGCAACTTTTTATTTATTTTCCGTTTTGTTAATTCTTTTTCAGGGGCACTTTTATTGAGTTCCGAAATGGGATGCTAAATGTGTCCCCCATTGGAAGAAGCTGCAGCCAGGAAGAACGAGTTGAGTTCTATGAACTTGATAAAGTGAGTTACAACTCTTGAAAAATATCCAACTCTTCTGGAAGAGGCAGTTATGGCCAGGTTATGATTTTTAAAAAGCTTTTATACTTTGTGCATTTTTTTTTCATTTTAATCCTTTCTGTGTGGCTTAACTAACTTCTTAGTTCAAACTTTAGGAAAATCACTGTATTTTTTTGTTGCAACAGTTAACAATGATTACTTGCAGAAGGGGTGGGTTTGGCTCACGTTTCTTTTAAGCCTGTATCTGGAGTAAGGAACATCCTACCCCTACACACAGGGTTCCTGAAAAACTGTCATAGATAAAACCATACTTACCAGGAGTGCTTCTTAGCACGCCAGCCTATAGCCATTCAAATCAATAAAACTATTACTTTTCTTGTCAACTCTTTAAAGCAGAATTTAAAAGCTGAGGGCAAACTATTCACCATTTATTTTCCTTTGTGCACAGCTAAGGTGCAGGCTGAAATGAATCCGAGCCATGCTGTCAGTTCTGTTCCCTGCTACACAGTAACAACTGTTTCTGACCTGATACACAAACTGAAATCTAATTCCTTGAAAGCAGCTTTTGCCTGCGACTGGGTTAATGGCTGCTGAAAGATATCTAAGCCCAAGGCATTCTGGAAATACACTTTTTGGAGTATCAGATTAGTACCAGTTTTGAGACTCTTCCTATGCCTCAGTCTCCCCCTTTCTAAAACTTAATTCTAGTGGGAGTTGAAGCATGCGCTTCCTTAGTATTCTAAGATTTTCAACTAGAAAAGCAAATACCACAGCATCTGTATGGAGTTTTGCTCTTTTTTTTTTTTTTTTTTTTTTACAAGTTGGTAACAGATTAAAGTAGAAATATTCTCAGTGTGCTTTAAGTAATAAAAAAATACAGCTATAGCACACTAGTCCTGGTACTTGGACCTTTGAATATTTTCAGGGTGGTTTTGAGGGTGATCTTTTTGTTGATGAATTAACACAGCATGTAACTGATTTTGGTTTGTTTTTTTTTTGTTTTTAACAGAAGGAACATATACGAGAGAAATTTGTAGCTGATTTACGAAGAGAATTTGCAGGAAAAGGCCTCACATTTTCTATAGGTATCATGTTTAATTTAAATATCACTTAAATCAAATCCTCTTATGGGTGTGACATACCCTATTGCATTTGTGTGACAGTTATCTCTCGGGTAGCTGCAGGCATTGCATGTGAGACTAAGGTTCTTTTTCCTCTTAGGCTTTCATTTGGTACATTTTAATTGAAATCCATCAACAAAGAGAATTTCATTGCTTGTCATCAGTCCATTGTCTTTTAATGTCAGTTGTGTGACTGATTGTGCTCATTTTGAAAGGTATTACATACTTCTGATTAGTCAGAGTTGTTTCTGCAAATCAACTCTGATCAGAAATACTACATCAGAACTGTTCTGGTAGCTCCCGGTTCTTCAGTTCTGTAGCTGCATTGTGTGGAAGGAAGAAGAAGAAAGAAAATGCAAAAGCAGGTGCAAGCTTAAAGAGAAAAGTGATAATAAGAGGGATAATAATTTTCCATGCTTTTTTTCTTTTTCTCCTTCTCACACATTATTATTTTTCAGAATTATAAAGAAGTGTGGTTGCCATTAGAGCTGTGGTATTGAAACACTAAGGCAGAAATGAACGGCAATATAGCTCTCCTAAAGTGCACTGTAAATACCTTTTTGAGATGTGCTTCAACTGGGAATCTTGCTTTTATGTATTGGTAAAGTCCAAGGATTTGGAACTGGAATAGTTGTTGTCCTGTTAGGCTTTGTAACAAAGGCTGATTTCCTCCTTTCTTCTATTCTGAAAGCTTTAGAAAGTCTTTTGCATAAGACTTTATGGCTGTACATACACCAATGGCTGCATTCGTTCACGTAGTTTCTTTCTAAAAGTAAAAAAATTAAATGTAATTAAAAAAAAAATGTTCTGTTTGAGAGCAGTCTGTTTGGGAACATGCTAAGACTTTCATGTTTGTTTAATGGGTAAATAATAATCTGAAAATCACCGCTGTAGTAACTGATACCCTATTAAACACTAGCTGTACTTGGAAGACTTATCTCCAGGGTTTCATAACATTTCTGTGACTTCTTCAAAGCCCACTCTACCACAAATCTTACCCAGTTTAGCTTTTCCTCACTTACGCTCCCCTCAGAGATGTGTTCTTACAATAAACCAAAGTTTGCTTGGCTCATGTCTGTCCTAGGAGGCCAGATAAGCTTCGATGTGTTCCCGGATGGCTGGGATAAGCGGTACTGCTTAGGAATCGTTGCCAATGATGGATACAAGACTATTCATTTCTTTGGAGACAAGACTATGCCAGTGAGTATATAGTTTTGTAAATACATTTCAGAGCTTCTGTTGTATACCACAAGCCCTGGAGGTTCTAACCAGTTGCCTTATGCCCAACAAGAACTGAAGTCAGCATATAAATGTGAAGGTGTCCATGTTTAGCTGGCAGTGCAGTACTGGCCAGCTGGGAGGTAGCCCTGAGCAGACTTTTTCTGTGTTTCCTGAAGTGAACACAGTGCTCTTGACAGGCTCAATAGTGGAATATATTTTCTAAATTCAACTTCTGTAATTATGTTAAAAACCTTGGTGACATGGCCACATAGAACTCATTATCCTGTTTGTTATTCCAGATTAGATAGATGCTGCTTGTTGGCTGGTGATTATTAAACATATTTATTTTCTATTGAATTTAATATTGTTCCTCTGCTAACCTCTCTGTCTGTCTCCACACTGAGGAACTGAAATTATATATAATCCCCATCCCTACTCATTGGAAGGAGCTAAACCGCTTTGCAGGGTGATTGAGGGGCTTTTGAAAACCCTGAGCAGAGCCAGCAAGGGCAACAGCAACACAAGGACTTGGGTGAAATTCAGGCTGTCTGAACATGGCCAAGGGACAGTGTCAGGCTAAGTGTTAAAAGGAAAGACTTATAGTTATAAAACTGTAAGTTCTTAGAAAACTAAGTTGCAAAGAACTTTACAGTTTTACAGAAGGCCAAGTTTTATAAGACAAAGCCAAGCTTTAAATGAAAGGGGGATTTCCCCTTTGACACCAGCTGCAAAAGTAATCTCTTGTCCCTCTGGCACAGAGCTTAGAGACGGTTGATTTTAAACCCTGTTATTGGCAGTGCAGCGTTTTCAGAGTTTCGAAACAGCAGGAGTTGTGCTGACTGACTGGGGAGCAGTGTGGCAAATGACATACAAAAATCAGGTGCTGCTTCCTGTAGTGCATGAAGCTGTGGGTTTCGGGGATCTCTGCTCGTGCAGGTGGCAGTGCCTTTGTTCCCCGAGCCAGCTGGGAAAGGATCTTGTCACCCCTCTCCTGTGATTAGAAACCAGTTACAAACATCACATCAGAGCAGTAGCTAGGCCAGGCTAGAACACTGCTGCAAACAGTTAAGCATCAATGGTCTTAATGATTGACCTAAAAGCAAAGGAAACCAAGTTGGAGGGAAGCGGATAATGCACATAAGTCACAAATACCATGTGCTGGTACAGTGTTGTGTAACAAGCTTTACATCTTAGTATTAGCAAGTCAGCAATTTTAGGAAGTCAGCACTGGGTTGCTGTACCAAACTGAACATGGCTGAACTTAACACCGAGAGCTCTGCTCTTTCATTACCAATTCTAACGTGCTGGGCAGAAGTTCTCATGCCCATGTTTGTGGTGTTCAGCAGAAGTTTCAGCCCAGGTGTGCCATAAACACATCATGCAAAATCTCAAAATGCTGGTTTGCAGTTTCCTGGCTTTCTGGAAGGTATCTCAGCCATGAATATGTCATCTCCCTTCTTTTCATAATTTCCTTCATGTGTCCCTTTTTCCGCCCCGAGACATGAAACTAAATAACATTAAATCCTCTTCTCCTTTTTACCTCTTCTGTTTTCAGGGAGGGAACGACTATGAAATTTTCACAGACTCCAGAACAGAAGGCCACAGCGTCACATCCCCAGAGGATACAAGAAGAATCTGTGAAGAGCTATTTTTTAAATAGGAGACTTTCAGAATTCACACTTACAAAACGGTTAAGACAGCTTAGTAACTCAAAACATCTCCCTTCACTCTGTGTTGTTTTTTGTCATTGGTCAGTCATTACAGAAGGGAAGCTGCTATTTAAAAGATGAACATTTCAGGACGTTTTTGTAAAATACTACTTTATGCCATAAAGACATGAATTATAAGACAGTTGGGATTTCCTTGTTTAAAAACTGGAAGATGAGTAAGAGAGATGGGTTTTATTTCTTTCTGGGGGTGGGAGGGTAGAACTGAGCCAGAAGCCCCCGACCTCACACATGTTCCAGTGCACGGTCACACGGTGTGTTGAGTCCACCACCAACACCACCACTGGAAAGGCTGGACCAACTGGTGCTAAAGTTACCTCCTCGGTACGGTTGTGGTGCCAATGCACAGTACGGTTCACGGTACCTACACTTTTTGCAGACTGTTTTTAAATCTAAAAAATAAACAAATTATAAAAAATTAATCAAAACAACTTGAGCATAGTAGCAAAATGTATTTCTGTCACTAATTACACCTCTGATTTCCTGGGAGGAGGTTAAGGGTAGATGAAATTTCAGTACTAAGAAAAATGATGTAAACTATGTTTCTATTAAAATTCAAGTTGAAGCATGACAATCAGCATAACTGTTAATATTACTTTTCTCATCTGGCATTAGGAAAGTAATATTGTGTAGGAACAGTTTAATTTAGTACAGGAGAATAAATTCTCATTTTATCATGAAAAATCACTTTTTTAAGTTGTCATTTTGGCAAATAAAATAAGTAAAGCAGACCTGTTGCATGCTGCCTGTCATAAATTATTTACTCGAATCTTTCCAATTCCAAGTTTATGTGATACTTCGTAAAAAAGGGAAGAATACAGTCTTTGTGTACAAACCAAAATGCCCAAAAGGGCTTACAAAAAAGGAGGAGGAGCTGTGATGCCCTCATGCATCAGATCTAGCCTTCTAAATAAAACCCCTCATGTGCCTAATTCAGTCTGAACCACTTTAATGGGAGCTGATTTTGGACCAGAACCATCTGTGCTGCAGGAGCTCTTTAAGGATGGCCAGATGTTCACAGCTGCTGCTTTGTGTACAGATATGTGATGTATCTGATTATTTGGTTGCTGTACTGCATGGGTGTTTTCCTGTATTTGCAGAACGTTACCTGTGCAAAACATCCTGTGCAGGACCCAGCCCAGATTTGTTTTCAGCCTCAAATATGTCCATCGGTGTGCACGTGCTTGCGTGGGTTCAGATCTCAAAAGCTCACTACTCAGCCTTGCACAGCCACTGCTGACAGCTAAGTGTCTTCTGCCTCTCATGCCAACAGATGAGAGGCAAACATTCTGTCTCTAACTGAGGGGAGAAAAGGCAGAAAGCAAAGCAGCCCACAGTGCCTACTCCCTCACTTCCATCTTACTTTCTATAGCATGAGCTGAAAAAAATGAATTATATAACGAAAATCAATGTATTTACAGAAGTAGTAATATATATTATACACATCCATGTTAAGCAGCTAGAAAACTTGCTAAATTACTCCCTAATTGTTCTGGTAATGCCCAACAGTTGATATTACGATGCTTTTTAAAACACTTATGTATCATCATACACGTGTGCACATGCAGGCACCTGCATCCTCCTCGTTGCTGCTAATCATCTTCAACACCACCTGCGCAGAGAGCAGACTGAAGACATATGTTAAAGCACTATAATGGTCACCTTTATTGTAAAGGAAGCAGCGTGTGATACTCAAACAAGCTGGACAGTGTTAAAACCACAACTACTAAGTCTTAGGGCTAATAAAAACAAACAAAATCCCACTACAGGCTGATTGTGATCATACACTACGTTGTAATAGAGGTACAGCTGAGGCAAAACAAGCCATTGCAGCAGGTACTGTCCTCTGTGCTCCCCAGGTCACACCTGGGACACATACTCTGCTGTAAAAGAGCCTTAAGACATTTCATGGCAGCGAGTGCCTGTTGTTAAAGCTGCAGAGAGGCAACTGAAGTCACGCTGTTCCACACAACTAACAGAAGAGTATCGTCCCAGCTTTTTTTTTTAATTATTTTTTATTTGCAAAGTCATTAAAAATCCACTGTTAAGAACATAATAGAGACAAATACTTCATTTGAAAAAAGACGTGGAAGACAAACAGAACAGAACGAATTTAGTTGCACTACAACTACACGAAGTCTTGCAGGAAGAGTCAGGGCATGGGTGACCATATCACATCCTACCAAGCAAGTTTTCCAGAGAAACAGCTGCAGAATCTACTCGACCGAGACAGCTGAGCCTATTAACTAACTCGCACGGTGCTTTATACACGGTCATCTGAACAGCACAGAACTTGCTCTTCAGACGCAGTTATCCTGCCTGCCCAGTGAAATACCATGGCACACGTGCAACTACACGCAGTCAAGAAAGTTATCTATCTTCAGCTTTGTCTAAATTCAGACACAGTCAGAGGCTATGAAGTATCCACTACTCTGCAGCTTTCTACCACTTACCTTGAAGCAAATTTTTAAAATTTCGGGGGATTTTTTGTTTTGTTTTGTGTTTTTTGTTAATACTGGCCTATAAAATCTGTTGCTAATCAACCATCAAGGCACCTAAGTAAATTCACAAACAATCCAAGCTCTAAAACCACACTGTCCCAGACATACGCAGACGTGCCGTTTGCCAACCGTGCACCCGAAGGGCACCCAGCCCTGGCTGTCGGAGCGTAACCACCAGATGGATATTTTCCACCCTGCGGCAGCTGCTCTGTTTGTGAGGAAGCAAATGGCAGCAATGAACACCCCTCCCTCCCAAGCCAAGGCCCTCAGGCCCCATTACCAGCAGCAAGTGTACCCCGACCCCTACAGAAGGGCAGCTCAAGGGAACCTGGTGCTCACACACCTCCAGGGCCTCGGCGTCGTGGTGCCTCTGCTACGGCCGTCTGTGCTGGAAGAGCTCTCCTTCAAACCTCTCCCCAGTTCCCCTGGGCATCTCCTGGAATCAGTTTACAAGAGAAAAGAAAAACCAAACCTCCCCCCTCCACCAAGCACACAAACTAGGGCTCTTTAAAATATGTTTGTTGTAAACACATTACGATAGATTTTTTTCGTTAGCATCTGAATTGCCTTTTTTTTTCTTTTTTTCTTTTTTTTGAGGCCAGCAGTAAAAATGGTAATTTTGGCCTACTTCTGCTTTATTGACAATGCAGTATTTCCTCCCGCACAATACTTAGGATATTCTTAGGACAGGTCCCCTGCAGCCAGTTGTTGAGCAGTGACCATGCAGGCAGCGGCCGCGCTCCCTCCGGGACACCTCAGGAGCTGACGACGTGCCCTGACCAGGTCTCGTGCTTGGTTCCAGGAGCTAGATGGGTAATCACCACCTCCACCGCCTGAAGCTTCTCGTTCTTCGGTGGGATGGTGCACATCTTGTAGGTGACCTCATCGCCTGCCACGGGAACGTACTCGCCTTCGATACTGTGGAGGGGAAGATTCAGTTAATCATAAATCACATAAATACTCTTACTCTACCCCAGCTTATTTAAATTTCTATCATAATGATCATCTTAGGTGCTCAAGGTGTTTCCGTTTTTTTAAAGAAGCCCATCATTCACCAAAGCTTGAGGTTGATTTTGGTTGTCTTGCAGCAAAACCCCATGAAAACACTATAAACACCACCACCACCCTATACAAACAAACACCAAAACCCCCACACTCTAATATCCCTTGAAAAATAACCAGCTAAGCACAGCCTTGAAAAACGTTGCTGGGAACCACTTACTTGCTGGCAGCACTAGAGGGCAGGGCTGACGCTGTTTGGCACTTTGTTTGAGAGTTGGTTTTTTTAAACTATAGGAAGTTGCTCTTTTTTCCCCCCCCCCTCCTCTCATGCTTCCAAAGCCTTTTTTCTCCCTCTTTTTCTTATTTTAAAGGAGGATTGTATCATGTCTATCACTGATTTTACCTTTATTTTACTCCACCATAACACAGTTCATCTGAGGTATGAAAAAAAAGAGCCCAAGTAAGACAGAGTGCGGAAAATTTCAAAATTACTTGCTTTGAACAAAGAGAGTTCTGTGACCCTGATGGGTTACACCTCAGAAACTCTCCTCCAGCATCCAGTACTTTGGGAGACTTCCAAGAGTCTCTCACTCCTTCGTCGCCTATAGCAGAGTGATGATGTGGGATGCTGGAGGACTCGCACCATGCATTTGTAACTGCATAGGAGTCCTTACCTGGAAACAGTGGGAAATGGCAGAAGGGCTGTCACCTCCTGCCCACAGCTATGTACTGATGAACCAGAGAACTGCAAAGGGTAACAGCTTTCCTCACTTCTACCACTGTGTTCAAGATGAAAGCTTTTTAATAAAAGTCCCAGCATGCTCCAACAGAGACAGGCAGAGATGCCTTCCAACCTGCATCTCTGACAGTAGAAAGGATGCTACTTCATCTTTCTTTAAATATACCTACATGATGCCTTGCCCAGGCTTCCCTTCTCTGACAACACAGGCTCTAGGTTCCTTCAGTGTTTCTCAACAGCATTTGTATTTGTGAACAGATAAACACCACCGAGTTTATTTGCCTTCACTGAGAGCACATGGGGAGCATACACATACCACCCAGGAATTTTACCCCAGAAAACTTCTGACCTAAGATTTTAGCGGTGCCCTTCAAATCCACTCTCATCTTGTGACCCATTATTGTTACAGCTTTTCTATTGCAGGAAAGACTGCCAGGACTGATAGGAGGTAAATATACTGTCACTTACTGCCAGTTGTAACGTCACATCAGACTCCCAGTTTGGCAAAACTGCTACAGCTTCATCTCCTGCACTGCCTCTCGCCCATCCTTCCCCCTGAGGGGCTTCCTCAGCTTCTGCTCCCCCCCAGCTCATGCACAGCGACTGCTGCTCCAGGAGCTGGTGCACGGGGCTGGGGCTGAGCAGGAGCAGCCTGTTCTCAGGGATGAGAGGGGTTGAGCAGGCAGGTACAGGGGAAGCTAACACTGCCACAGACATTAGAACTTCTCCCATGGGAAATTCAGAAGAAAAGTCATTGTTTGGTAACTGACTGTATCAACATGATATTGAAAATGCTCCTGATCTAAATACAGATCTAAAACCTATTACGAGGAGTTAAAGGCATTCCCAAGGCCTGTGGCTTGAACCACATGTCCACCAGACTGTGTATCTCTGGGCTAGGCCCCTGCTCCAGGGCTGCCTGTGACTGAATCGGACCCAAGAGGGCATGTCCTAAGTTGAACTCTTCAGAGCAGTGCCTGGGAAAAAGGCAGTAAATGGAAGGCAGAAAAAATATTTACAGAAAAGCCAAGATAAAATCTCCTTCATTAGACCTGACAGCCCCTTCCTCCCCACGCAGCCTCACCCCACTGACCTTTATTTACCTCCAAGGTCTCCAGGCCAACCTGTCAGCCCAGCCTGTACCACACTGGGCGGATCATGTCTGAGCTCCCATATCTAGAGTCCTGCTTGTGGTTGCTCTTCTTCAGTTATTGCCTTAATTCACAGCCTACCTCCTCAATTCCTAACAGGTCTAAGATTTCTTCAGGTGTGAAGGGGTTGCACACCCAATACTTACTGTCCTTTCAGAGGCAGAGACTAGTCCACATTTTTTAATGCCAAAGGAATTTGCCACCAAATTCCCTGCAGCTTACCGTGACTTTGAAACAGAGGATTTCAAGCAAGGATGAGAAGGTGCTACTTGTACTGTCACAGAGCCTGACAACTGGACAAGAAGCCCCAAGAAGAGACACAGGATCAAAACACAAGTGAAAATAGGAAGGCCATGTAAAAAAGCATCATCTTTCCCACATGAATGATCCCTTGATGCCAAAAGAATTGTTGCTATTGACTTAAAACCACATTGCCATGAGCACTAACAACACAACACATGCAGCGTACCAGTCCCACCTGAGCAAGGCCCCATCTTTCAGTGAAGGCAATCCAGCATAGACATTTTATCTGTACAAAGAAACACGGGACTAGCAAAACACAGTGAGCAGAAACACTTCCCAGCTCAGATGTAATGAACGTAGACAACAGGAGCCGAAGCGGAAAGCCTACACTGACTCAAGTACAGCTGAGCCACTGGAACAAGTTGTAACGAAACATGTTTCTTCACGTGGCCTCGAGCAGCGGGACCAGCTGCGGACAGTGTTCCAGGGAGCGCAGGCAGAGCAGTTACATGGGGCTGGAGCTATATAACACCTACACGATCCCATGCCCAGGTTCCCCTTCTCTGACAACTGAAGCTCTAGATTTCTTGTTGCTTGAGCATTAGAGCCACCCACTCCACAGCCCCAAGTGTGGCCTTTGATTCCTGCACAGAGGATGAATACGCACAGCGAGCTCAGAGTCACCACTTCACAGGCATCAAATGAAACGGATGCCCTGCCCAGGAAGGGATCTCATGTTTGGCTGCAAGGACCCTGACATGTTCTTTAAAAGCTCCCCTAAAACAGGATGAGATGCAGTTAGTGAAATAAACACTTGAAATCTGCAAAAGATATCAGTAAGTATGGTTTATGTAGAAGGAAAGCGGATTCACACCACCTCCTAAGGCACCAAATATGTGACAATACACAAAGGCAGTGTTTTAAGCTCCTGAAAAACAGAGACAAATTAGATACTAGTTGAATCTTCAAATTCAAGTGAGGAAGAAGTACAGCTTGAATGATAAAATGATGGGGGTTTTGTTGGGCTAAGTTTGGTTTAAAAACACAACGTGTATATATACCAATTAAGAAATTAAGAGCAGTGAATCAGTACCTGCACGGAAGCGGTATGCCTGACTGTCATGGTTTCACTAGCAGCTGGTGTGGAGCTGAGTTTTGGATTTGGGATAAGAACAAAAAAACAAACCACATTTGCTGACCCAATTTTCTCGTGCTTGAATCATGAGGTTAATTGCTCGTGATTCTTCTTCTAAATAGATCACATTAGCCCCAAAATCTGCACAACCCTAAGCATTACCCAGAAAGGTACATTTTTCTCCACTAGAAAGCACTTCTTACAGGAGCGAACACTAGGCTGACAGCATCAGATCCTTTCTTGGTTTCTTTCCTTATCCAAACTGACACTACAAGAGACTGAAGCTTGTGACAAAACCTCATTCAAACCCAACATGGCTTCTTCTCATCTCCTAGGTTGTCTTATTTCTTTCTCTTATTGAGGTGACACCTCATCAAGACATGGCTTGTCCTTTGCACAGCTGTGTAAAAAGGTTGTGGCCACACAAACAACTCAGATTTTATTTTCTACATTTGGCCTTTAAACTTTTCTCCCACAGATCAGCTATTCTTTTCTTTCCTGCAGCATTCTGATTATCAGCTACTCTTGGTGCCTACCGAATACGAGATTATTAACTCGTTGCCCCCAGTACACAAGAAAAGCAAGAGGACAAAGGTCTTAGCTGGCAGCCTGAGTAAACCGGTTTGTGAACAGCGTTCCCAGCACAGTGCTTGCCCACTGAGCCCTGCTTCTGGCGTCGAGGCAGACTCACTCCAGCATTGTTATCGCTACCTGATGCTTAGAAGTGGGAACAAACAACATCCAGACCGTGCAGTACTTCTGGTGCTGTCAAGAAAGAACAATACAATGGCACTTGACAGGGGATGAGACGGTACGGCACTGGAGGCGTAGCCCTGCACAAAGCTGCGCCAAGATCCTCCATCAGGAAGCAATTCCCTTAAGTGCTGGGAGGGAAATGAACTGGAAAAGATCAGAGCAGGTAAACAGAGACCTTGGAACAGATTCAGCCTACAACAGGCTGGATAAGTTACCTGGATAATTTCATAGAGGAAATTAAACATGGGCTTTTTTGATGTTATATATTAATTAAACATTTTTAGATCTGTATTTATGACTTTTACCCTAACTATATACTAAATGCTGATCTAGAGGAAGGTGGAGCTTTTCACTGCTATTTAGGAGGCTGGTATGCACGTCCTATTCAAAATAATGGATATCTATGCATCCAGGATCCTTAAGACACTTCAACAAATTAAGCTAAAAATAGGAAACGCTTTCCTGACATTAGTGTCAGAGTAAGACACAATAGAGCGAGTTTTAGATTATCCAGCAACTCCCATTTCCCAGCTCAGCGCCAGTCTGGTGGAGCATTTTATCCTGCACTATTTTTAGGGAACTGGGAGGTTATTCGGAAATTACCTAAATAAGGAATGTTCTAGTTCTTCCTTCTCACAGCTGCTATTCATATTCCAGGGCTCTAGTTAAACCTCTTGGGATAAAGACTAAGTCACATGGAAACATTTTTGAACAAGAGTTTTCAGTGAATTCAGAGCTTTGCTGGACAAGAAGCCTGCCATGGATCACACCACACAGCCGCTCTCCATGGATCAATGGGCTGTGTTATCTTGTGGGCTTCTTAAAGCTCATTTAACACTTCGACACACCTCCCAGGAAACCCACATGTTTATTAAACAGCAGGACATGACAG